TCAAGCAAATGTACACAGTCATCGACTTATTGATTTTAAGAATTTTCGCTTGTAAATAATCTAGAAATTCTATTTAAAGCTCTTCACCATGTTTATGATCACTCATTATGCTGGTGATCTGAAATACTGAGTGATTGACTGAACAGAATGCTGAAACAGATTAAACCGGCTTACCAGAAATATAATCATGAAAAACATGATGATGACGAATATCTTGATTTTGTAGTCCTTGGTCTCCCGCTTCTTCTTTCTTATCAGCTGTGGAAAGGCCTGAGGAGACATAGACAATTATTAGAAAATGACCTTTGAACTGTGGAAGAGATAGGGCGGACCCACCTGCATCTTTTCGCGCAGTAAACTGGCCAGGGAATTGACACTGGTGATGGAGGCCTGGTTGGAGGCCAAACTGTGGCTATCGAAGTCGCTGGCCAACATCTCCTTGGAGTTCAATCTCAGGGCGGGCAGAGGGGCAATCGAGGCACGTCTCCGGCTGCGGAAACGATCGCTGCAGGAAAAGTTCACATATGTTTACAATATCACTATAAATATTACCTTTAAGATGTTAATAATTTTCTTAGAATATAAACAGCGTTTAAAAAGGTTTCCCAGGTTATAAGTTTGACATGTTTTTAAGGTTTTTCGTTTGGTAAAATATCCAAAGTGAATTTTTGATATCTATAGATAACTATATCAGCATATTGTAGGTATATCCCCTCATAACTTTGCTCTCATAAATATTACAAAAAGAAGATATTGCTCATTTAATAGACACGATCATAACAATTTTTCTGAGAACCAATAAAAAAGAAGAATACCTTCGCTTGTTGTCTCTTTGATGTACATAAAGTTCATCAAGCGATAGTACCTTAATAAATTTATGACACCGATAAGCAAAGCTGTCATAAATATTACCTAGACAGCTGATATGCATTGCGCATAAGAAAAGAAACGGTTTGAATTAAAACAAGAATAAAACCTAAGCAAAAGAATTTGAAATCATAAATGGATTAAAGACATGTATCTCCTAGATACATTTTGGATGTATTATTTATGTATTTTATTTTAACAAATTAAAGCTGGTATATAATACTATATACTATATTTTGTAGGTATTTATTCAATAAGTAGCAATATTAAAAAATGTTTCCAAAGATAATCAAACTTTTATTGCGTGCAGTGAGTGAGAAATCTTAAAAATTCCCAATAAGATAAGAGGTAGTACACTTGTACAAACGAGAAGATGCAACCGTATGCCATGGACCCTGAACTTGCAACGGCTTATCGCCCTTATCGGGGCGGAAGACGGTCGTTAAGCCCACCTCGCGAGGCCCCAGAGCAATTTCTGTTTGCATAACGCACACTTTTCGCTCCGTCGGTATGCAAATCTCGCGTAAACAAATCGCAGAACCCAAAAGTGGCAGAAAGCGAAACACGAAAATCTGGGCAGCTGATATTGTGCCATATAATTATATATATATATATGTATATATACTTGCTTGGCCTGATTTATTTACAGTTGATAAGCGGCTTGGCTTTGCTCTCAAAGTCGTAAACACTCCCCGGGGCCTATAGCCGATATATATATGGTATATATATATATAGGTATATATAACTCGAATGCAGTTTGATATACAGATATACGGATGTTATCACGCCCAATCACGATCATCAACTGAGCCGAGACTCGTTTATGTCGCTATAGCCCAGTAAAAAGATACACAGCTCCAGATCTGTAGAGTCCGGGTCGCGTACTTTTGCTGGAGCTTCCTCGCCTCCAAATTAACTTATCATCCGCAAGCAGATTGGAGACCCGTCGCTGTGCCTAAGCACTTAAATTGCCCTCATCGCGTGTGTGTGCCGGCAAAAGCCGTATGACACGGGTCTTTGGAGAGATCTTACAGAGTTCCACTAGTATTTTGTAGTATTACTGATATACCCTTCTTATAAGAAAGCTGTGTGACATAGGAACTTAGAGATATCTAAAAGATTTTAAGCAGTATTATTAAGTATAACTTCTTATCACTACCTAAAGATCTGAATGACACGGGAATTTAGAGAAAGTTTCCAAGGAATATTTAGGAATAACAGATATACCTTTTTTATAAAAAAAATAATCAAAAATGAATTTTTGTGGGTATATTAATATACTCCTTTTGTCAAAGATAGGATTTACTTAAAAAATTGATAAAAGATTAGGTATCATCGATTTGTTTATATTATAAATAATCAGTAACACTCAGTTTTATGTTTGGGATCTCTGCTTATTTAGCATTCCTATTATAATATTATGTTTGGACTTTTTAACACCCTCTGATTCCTTGGGTCTAATGAGTAAACTTAGACAAACTTAGCATTTTCCATTAAAAATATGCAGGAAATGTTTAGTTGATTTGTGTACTGACATTGATTTCTTTAATTAAGCATTATGCACTTATAACACTGAACTGAAAAGATATTTTGAGATACTGTTTGAAAGAAAAATTTAAATGAATACAACTTTTTTTAATTTACAGAGCCTTATAACCAAAATTGACTGCATCTTATATGTTTGTTTGTCTACCCTGAAGTTGCTATGCTGATTTTTAATCAGTCAAAAACTTACAATGCAATTTCTGATAACAGAACCCTTGAAAAAAGAATTATAAGTGTTAGAGTCAGCTGGTTTTAGCTGCTTTAAATTGGCATGAAATCAAATGATTAATCTAGTATTAAATACATGTAATGTGAATACATCAGTTCCTTGAGGGGATTTTCATTTAAGAGAATCTTTTGCATCTTTTGCATATGCATGATGTATCTTTAAGTTTAACCGCAAGCAGCTTAATCAAAAACCTTAAGATGCAAGGAAAATATAGATAAATCTTGAGGTCAGTTTAAAATGTAATATTTTGTTTGGTACCTATTTGTTATATAAATAAATATTATTTTATTATTTTTTCCCATGCTAACATCAATGTTACGCCCAGTGTTTTATATTATATCGTTAATAATAACTGTTATTCGGCCAACACTTGCCCGATTCCGAATAGGTAATCATAGGAATTCACAGCGCAACTCGGTTCAAATTGCCCAGGCGGGGAAAAGTCGAATGAAAATTGCAATTGAATTAGCATGGAAGTGGGCAATAACTGTAACCGATACCGATGCTTGGAATGGGGCGTTGCAAATCGGGCGTTAATATCGGGGGGGAATGTTGGGAAAGGCACGTTCCACTCGATGTAGACGCCACAATTGAATTACTGTCGTTCGGAGACAAAAGGCAGCGACTTTCAATTAATTAATCTAATTGCCCGATGAATCAAATGGGAAATGTGCAGAATGACAGCGTGAGTTAAGATTAGAGTATCTTTATTCTGGATTCTGGATGGAAGACTAGCCAAGAATTTGGGTATCCTGTCGGCGACCCTTTATCTTTAAGGATCTTAAGAGCGGCTATTCGAGTTAATCATCATTAGTATTTAAAACGATGTCTTTAAAATAGTTGACTCACTCTGTAGTGCTAATTATTAGGCAGTCACATTAATAAATCATTTACTTTTTCTGTTCATATTGTAAAGAGTTATGTAATTATAATTTTGATCAGTGGATAGGTTTTCAGTACCTTTTAATTTAAATAAACAAATTATAAGATCAATTGATTTTCGATAATCTTTAAAAATATTAATAAAGAGATTAACAAAATATAATATTTATTTATCATATTAAAAGATTTACAAAATACCAAAAAGATATACATATAGTGTTAATAATACTGCAGTTATAGACAAGTTTTATCAATATTTGAACAATTTTTATGAAATTAAACGGTCTAAAAAATAGTTTTCTTAATGTTAAATATTAATAGGTAGTATTGGCTTCTAAATTTGATCTTATAGATTTCAAAAGGTAAAAAATGCTACAAAAAGTTTTAAAATAAATATGGAAAAATGATAGTATATCCAATAAAAAGAAAAGTATGTCAATGAAATAATCATATCATATTGAAAATCGATTAAAAAAACGTTTAAGATACACAAAAATTGTAAAATTTGTTAATGTGTTCTTTTTAGGACATATGTGTATATGGTATCGGAACAAATCACTCACCGGTGGACTGGTTTTCTGGCGTTCCCGAACTCATCATCGCTGTCATCGTTGGCGCTGCCGGCGTTGGCGAAATTGATGGCCGTACCGCTGACGGCCTTATCCGGCGTATTCGCCGATGTCGTCGGCGCCGTAACGCCCGGAGTGCCCGGAGTGCCCAGGCTGGAGGCCGCATCGTCGGCTATCTGGAAAACAGGAATTTATATAGCCAATAGTCGCATTCGGTTCGTTACACTATCCACCACACTATCGATAATGCAAACAGTAAACAATTGTAACTGGAAGCGTGTGGGATTTTGGAGGGGCATAACATATATGTATATGGGGGGTACGTATACTGGATCGGTTCTGCTCGGGGTGCTGGGCTTTTGGCACCTGCCTGCACTTGGGCAAGGTGAGTACAATTAGCACGGAGGCGTTACCGCAGAGAGCCCCGTCAAGGTGGCTCAATATAACCGCAAAACCCGGACCAGTAATATCATCCGATTGGGTATTTTATAAGCTGACAGCCAGACTTAGTACCTGCCTTATCCTTATCCAATTCCGCACTGATATCGAGTATTATATCGGTTTCTATATCTTTATCCGGTGGCTGATCTTCGCTGGGAACACTCGACAGGATAAACCGACTGTTGGGTGAGCTCATTTTTGGCACTTAAGGGTTATATTTATATCACTGAAGAATATATTTGGAATATGATATTTCGAATATCGTTTGTGAAAATATATTTTTTATATGTAAAACTATTAAGGTTTTATATTGTATATTGTTTGTATACCCTGATAAGAGATCAACCACATATTTAATTTGATCACATTTCACAAAGTCATTGGTAAACAACAAATGTTAATCTACTTTGTTAATTTATTTTTATTTTAGGGATTCAAAAAAAATTTAGGTCACCGATGCGATTTTTCCCGATCTGGGCTTAAATGGGTAAGTTTTTCTTGAGAAGTTTTGTTAAAATCAATACAGAAAACCAATTTAATATTTAATAATTATTTTAATAATGTATTTCTTGTCTTTAAAGTCAAGAATATTCGAAAGTTTCGGAATAATTAAATAGGGCACCGAACCGAACGCTGTTAATGCCGCGATCGTACTGTTAACCGTTGATAATTGCTGGATTGCTATTGCCTGAATATTGTTTTTGAAGCCTCAATTTATGCGTTTTAATCGCTCCGCTCTCGCCGTCGCTGCCTCTGCCGCTGCTACCGCCGCTGCCTCGGTCGACGCAGACGTCGGCAGCGCAGTCACAGTGGGGCGTTGAGTGGGAATATTCACACCCACACTCAGAATAATCGCCACCAAGTTGAATCGACTCAAAAAGCCGGGCGAAATGCCCGCAAGTGAGAGGGAATTTGATTTTGATTTTGATAGAATTACCCGGTAGTCGTAAATTAATTGTGATACCCTGATTGGTTATGTACGTACCACTTTAGCTTTATTTTTTTAGCGCCGAACGGTAGCGCTCGATTTAGCCTTTAATCGTGGCGACTGGCCATAAATACACTGATACACTGTTAAATAAATCCAGGCGCAAGTCATTTTCAAGGGGAAATAATTTAATTCTTATAAAAAAATGTGGCAAAGCCATATGCTTTTTGCTAATTTATTTTATATTATTTTGCAAAAAATGGAATCTGGTTAAAAATTTCCATTTAGAAAGTCAGGAATTTTGTAGACGTCGACTTAGAACCAAATTTCTGTATATATAATAATTAATTGATTTTGCTTTAAATATATTCACAAATAAATTATAAAACAAGCTAGATTAACCATATTAAGGAAAAAAGTCCTGTTTTATGAATTTTTTTTTTATAAAAAGTTTTGTAACAACTTAAAAAAATCAAACTGTGTATTTTAGAACTTATCATTTGATTTCATTGTTTTAATCTCAAATTTCACAACTATTTAAGCTACTTTTTCTATTCTTTTAGTCTTGTTTATATTACTGTTTTCTTAATTTGGTTTTTTCAGTGATTGCAATTAATTTTTTACCGACAAAAAGTGAAAATAAGAGACAGAATAACTCGCTAATTAAATCTGCGTGGCTTGTCATTTATTTTTCCCTTTAAATATTTATTTATTCATTACTTTCCTAGCACTTTTCGCTTTAAAAGCCAAAGGTTTCCTGTCACTAAAGAGGATAAATATCAATGGCATACTTTCAGGCAGCCTCAACAAAGACCACACTGCGTATGTGTGATTTTTGGCATGTGTGACATTCGATTGCTTGGCTACATCACACATACGCCGCGTTGGCCTGGCCACGCCCCCTTTAGCCCGCCCGACGGCTTGTTTGCATCTCTATAATTAGCGCAAGTCATACACCGCTTCTTTCTGACATCAGTAATGAGTTCGAGTGCTAACACATCTACAAAGTTATATACATAATCTCCCACGGGAAGAATATTGGTTGCGCTAATAATTCAATTTGAATACTACAGATGGGGTGGGGTCGGAAAAATGAAGTAAAATATCAGTAATCAATCATTATTTTATCACTTCGATCAATCAGTATTCATAGGTGCCTATAACATGCAAGTTTTATTTTTATTTGCAGATCAAAAACAAGTTTAAACTTTAAATGCCTTCTTCGCCAACTCGTTTTAATTTGTACGAAATTAAATTGTTTCAGATGATAATATCTTGTTAGCATAAATGATTATGCTAATATCGGAACCACTCGGTAGCTATGAATTCGTATTTGGAGCACTATGCATACCTTAATGGTTTTTTAATTTGATATATTATAATTTTTAATGGATATTTAAGCGAGCCAGTCACCAGTGGAATTCTCGAAAATGTTTTTTTAATAATTTTACTGTAAGCAAACAAATGTGTTGTATAACTAAAGTGCTAAAATAATGGTGCCCATTTGCACCGTAGGACCATCATGTGACTATTAACTGGATTTCGGGTTTTTTGTCACATGTGGATTGCTTGCCAACTTCATATAATTAAAGCTCAATTAACGGTTGGATATTATTTTGGGGAACTTTCTGTAAACCGGCGAGAATCACTGACTAGAGGCGATGACGCCTCGCTTAATTACGCATTGTATTTTAATTTCGAATGAGGCTTAGCTGCTCAACTGGTTTGCTGCAATTAAATACTTAAATGTACAAAAAAGATACAATATGAAAGAAAGAACGCTTTATTTGAGTGTCCCGGTCGTAAAATACCCTAGACTTACAGACCTTTTAAAAGGTATGTTGAAAGTAGTCGACTCAACGTTTTATAGCGAGGTTTGAGGTTTTAAATATAATTATATGTTATACTAAAAAAATACTGCTTAAAATAAGTGTTAAAAAAACAATCCAGTAAAAAAAGTATATAAAAAATTGTTTATATAGCTTATTACATTCTAACAACCCACTTTGAAAGCTCGCAAAAAAAAGGTACAGCTTTTTTAGTTTTCAGTTAAAAAAAAAAGACAGACTATATTGACGAATTATCTGTGTATTGATTTATTGTTCTTTTTTCAACCCTTATACTCTATAATTACATTTCCCATTGAGTAATAATATTAAAATGTAGAATTTAAGTATATATATCCCTACATTTCTTTAAAATATTTTAAGAGAATATTAAAAAAAGGTCTAAGTCTAAAATATTACATACTATATTCCATCTGACATTGATTAAATTTGTTTGAGATGTTTAGAAAGACCCTTCGAATACAGATACCAAAGCAATACTCACAATCTCCTCGTGCAGCGCATCCTGTGGCTGCATCTGGTGTCGCAGACGCAGTGCCTCCAGATCCAGGGCATTGATGCCCGATGGCATGGATATCGAGTTCCGGCGGAGACCCGGGGCAAAGGCCTCCGGCGAGGGCGTGGGCGTGGGTGTGGACTCCTCCCGTTCCTCCCGATCCTCCGGTTCCTTCTCATTGACCACCTTCAAAAGCGGCAGCTCCACATTACGTCGCTCGCCGAGGGATTGCTTCCTGGCCATGTTTCCCAACAGCTGTCGCTGCTCCGGCCTCTCAGCCCTTCCATCCCGCTCATCGTCATCCGTATCCGCGTCCGCGAAGGCGAATTCGGGATGCTGGCCATTGAGCTCCTGCGCGGCTCCCGATCGCGAGGAGTGGGCCATTTCACCCACCGCTTCTGAGTTCCAGCGGCTGCGTTCCAAACCCGAACGCGTTTCACTGGCGAATGAAAAGGGTTGAGCGCCAAGCGGAACCCCAAATCGCCGGCAGAGCGAAAGAGAGCGATGGGTCGAGGGAGGGGGGCAGTGGGGGAGCGGCAGTGAGCGGACGGATTCGATTGCCATCGCTGTTTGCCTTTAATCAGCGCTTATCATCGGCCGGCGATAATCGCACACCTGCCAAAATAAAGTTGGCAAAGTAATACTATATTTAGATTAATAAGTTCCTACTCTTATTTTTGGGTTTTTTCTAAATTTTACTGGAAATAAATATTAAATTGAAAGATACATAGGTCCATAAGAAAAGTTATACAAGCTTGTTCTGATAATTACTTTTGAGATATTTCATTGAACTCGATATTATGTCATTTGAATCTTTCAAGAAATGAGTTAAAAAATTAAATACTCTTCTTTAAAAAGAATACTTTTGAATCTACTCAAAAAAAAACTCGAAAGTGAAAAACGCAACGGCTCTAATATTAACATAAGCCCATCTAATATTTGACGAAAAGTTTTAAAACCTTTTCGAAATGTTTTCGAAATATTTTAAAATGTCAAAAAAGTTAGTTACCTTATAGATTTTCTAACTTTTTTTTCAATTTTAAGCAGCATAATCCTTTCCATACTCGTAATACTACTTTTTATAAGAATAAAAATTATCCAATTAAATTTTTTTTCCAAAATTCCTTAGTTTTTTGATCTCAAGTCAGATTTCTCAGTGTATGTTTTTAATCGTAGAGCAGCGGTTACGCAGATATAGCTGATCCGCCTCTTAACTGCCCCCTTGAACGCCTTTTCGGAATTCTTTGTGTCGCCACTGTTTGAACTCTGCGACTGTTCTCTTATTGATTCGGCTAATTAAATTCGTTTTCTTGGCCATAAGCCCTTGCCGTTGATTTGGCCATTTGTTTGCCCAGCTAATTAGGCGCAATCTCGCTCTCTCCCGCAAAATTCTCGACCTTGTTTCGGCAGTAAGCGTACACGAAATACAAAAATCAAACACTAAAAATTAATCAACTGACAAAGTCAAGAGCGAAACTCGTTCGTCTGCCGATCCGATCGATTCGATTCAATTGAGCAGCGTCAACGAGGGGTTTTTAATAATTACATGTGTTACCTGATAAGGTAAACAAAACCAACCCAATCACCCACATCCAGGCGTCCCCATCCCGAACCCCCCTTTTCGCATAAACATCCCCTGCTCGGAATAGTAATCTCACGGGCCCGGAATCGTACAACTAATTCGCAATATTGTTTAACAAATTACACTCATAAATTCTCTCGAAGTGGGCAAATATTTGACGATTGAGCTATATTTACGATCAGCGCAACAAAAAAAGGAAAGAAGAGGAGTTAGCAGAGGTACGGGAATATCGGGAAAAAGTTGACGCTACCCGGAAGCGTTATCAGGAAATTTAAGTTTTAAATTAAAAAAATTTAAATATATCTTACTTCTTTATAAGTAGGTTGCTAACTAAAACAAGAAAAAAATTTTAAGTATTACTTTGCACAATTTATTTATAGGTAGAGCCCTAGCTCAACACTCGTAAAGTTTTTATCTCTTACGAAAATTTCTTTAAGCGAAAGACAAATAATTTCACATTAGTCAGTGCTCACTGTACCTAAGTCACCACGTAAGAAGGCAATCAGACAGAATCAAATATTAGAGTCGGTAATAAAACGATTTAGTGAAACAAAAAAACTGGCAACTTTTACAGCTCCTGATAAAACCCACTACAGTAAAGCTAGAAATAAGTCTATCTCAGAAATACTTTCCCTAAAATAAAGTTATAAAACGTAAAACTTAACTTACTTAAGATGGGTTCACAAATATTATAAATTCTTCCAATTATGATTTGCATCTTCTAATAAGAGGTTTCACTGTCCCACGTGAAAAGCCACTGGGCTAACACACTACCGACTGATGAAAAGGCAAATTGCGAAAATAAACTTGGATTGCGAATTAATAAACACTTATACGACTCGTTATAATGCCGTGAGGCGATGCCCGAGTTCAGAATTAATGAACCCAGATAATTGAAATGCAACCCGCGACTCAAAGTCACCACCAAAGTTGGTCAACTCTCGAAAAATGTACGATATTATTATTTTTAGCTCTTACAGACGTTACCAGGAATTTCTGATGACTATTGTAGTAGTTTTCGAAGACTTTCTGAATATTATAAGAGCATTTTTTCATTTTTCTTATACTTAAATCTGTAAAAAAAAGAGGCACAGTAATACAAACCATGAGCTGCCAAAAACCATCCATCAAATAAGAGAAAATAGTTGCTATGCCTCTAGAGACTATGCCAAATTAAGTTCTTCAGATTATCAGTTCACCGCAGTCGCACAAGATATTATTTTTAAGTAATTTTGAAAAGGGGAAAAATGCAATTTGTTTTTATTATTACTTTTGTTTTCAATAAATTGTTTTTAGATTTGTTCATTTGGTTTAGTTGTACACTTAAACATTTGATGAATTTTCCAGTTCTTATACGCTTTTATTTTTAGTTTGTCGTTAGCATATTTCTGCCGCGCTTTGTTGTCGTATTAAATGTGTAAGAAAACATTGATAATTATTTTCGTATTTTTCTTTAAGGAATGTATCTTTTTGTTAGCGTATATATATACTTTTTCGATATATGTTGCCCCTGGCTGTCTTCGCGGTCCCCGAGACGCCCAACAGCATTTGTTTTGCTCAACAGTTACGTGACACGGAAACAATAATCAAATAAATAACGACAGAGCGAAGTTAGTTGTATAGTATTATTAATTATTATATGGAATACACACAAATCTAAAGTAAGCGCTTGCTACATGTAAATGGCCAAAAATAGAAAAACAGAAAAAAAAAAATAGCATAATAAGAATAAACATAATTTTAAATTCACATTATTGTAGGACTATAACTAAACATAATAAATACATTACGTGGACTACGCACATTGAGAGATTAACAAATCCAATACAGATACAGATACAGATATACGAAAAAGATATGGAATCAATTAAATAATATGTAAAATTAATCGTAATAATTGTGTAAATTGTAAATATCACAAGCAGACGTCACTTGCATCGTTGATAAATGTATGCCCTATATGCCATTCTATAAGTATGCGGGTGTGTAATTATGTTCTGCCCTAAATCGTGTGAAATTGTTTCTTTTTTTTGTGATTTTTGTGGGTTTTGTGGGTTTTCGACGTGAAAGAAAGCCATATTCGCTATTTGTGTTCTGCCTATCTCCCTGTCTCTTTCTCTTGCCCGCCTGCCGTCTCTTTCTAGGTTAATTTTTGAGTTGGGTTTTCAGTTTTGAGTTTTGTTGAGTTTTGAGTCTCGTTTTCGCATTTGTTCAATAACTATTAACGTTACCTTAAATTTAACTAACAATTTCTATAGAAAGTTTTCGAATGAGTACAATATTTTCAACATTTCATCGCTTTAGTTTTCTGTTAAGTTTATATTGTTTCGTTTAGCATTTGCTTGTCGCCAACCCGCTTTTCTTTTTCTTCTTCACTCTTGGCTGACTTTCTGATTTCGGTTTCTTGCTTTCAGTTGAGTAGTTCCTTTCTAGGCCTTTCTACGTACATACAAATAAATAAATGATCAATGTTTGTTGATTTGTTTGCTAAACATTTATGTATATATGTATATATATATGATGTATATTTGTGTATAATTAAAATTGACTTTTTACAATTTATTCTTCATAGATTTTCCATTTAGCCGCTGCCTTCCTATGAGCAAAAAATATACAAACAAAAACGGAACAAAGGGTGTTTTGGAAAAAAATATGAATTAAATATTACGCTGAGGTTGGCTTAAATATACTCTTCTATATATTTCCTTTTTCGTTTATAATGTATGCGTGTCTGTGAGTGGTGTGTGTATATATATATACGTATATATACCTATATATATTGTATAATGAGAATCGTCGGTTCTGCTTGATCTAAATTGGTGCCTGTGTTTGCTCTATGTGCTAAGTGCCGGAAACATTTGAAACATTTTTGTTACTGCTGTTAACATTTTCCAACTCCATCCGATCTCTGGACCAGACCAAGTCAGGCCATGCCAGACCAGACCAGACCATCCCATCCGCATCCCAAATTGGAGCATCGAGAGCCAAGGCGATTGCAATTGCTTGTCAATGTACAAATTATATAAATGTATATATATCAGTGCCAAATATACTTTACAATATATATGGATTGAGGCTTTGGGTGCAGCAAGCAGCGGGCAAAAGCATGAATCTCTGAATCCACAGATTCCGGAGCCCTTGGAGAACTGGCCAGCCGGAATATGGCAAGCTAACCGAAGGAGATGGTGTGGTATGTGTGGGTTTAGAAGCGGAGTGGCCAGCGAATGGAATTCTTCCACCACCACCGACCACCGACCCACTAACGAACAATGTGCAATGCCTCGGCCCGCCTGGTGATGTTCGGTATGGTACTGGGTGGTTTAATCTGTGCTTCCTGCCGCCGACGCCGCCGTTGCTGTTCCTTCTGCTCCACTGGCTCCAGCTCCTGCTTCTGCTTCTGCTCCTCCTGCAGCACCTTCGGCCTTCCCTAGTCGCCGCTGTCGTCCCACTTGCGCTCCTCCATGATGCGATCAAAGCAGTCCGCAAGGAATGCATGCTGCAGGATGGAAAGCCACATTAATTAAATGCATTTCATTCGAGGGTTGGCATGGATTTGTGGTCTATATATGTATATATAGTGCGCAGCTGAACTTCTCGCTACATTACAGTTCTAATCAACCCGAAAATTAATTATAGCCTCATTTGAATATGCAATGTGTTTGTCTATTTGATGCACACAAAGGTAATTATCTTCATTTGTAATTTACCCCAATACTACTTGTACAATTTGGTATGGCAATACAAATAACCTATTGTTTTGCAGATTGTTAGCTTAAATATTTATGAGAAACACATTTTTTAGATTATCTAGGGTTTTAAAAACTTAACTTTGTTTAGTTTAGACCCATTAAAACACCAAGAGGTAAACAACTATTTTAAGCTAATCAAGAGTTAAGCAGCGCACTATAAAGGACAGGGCTTTTAAGGATCCAACATACATATGGCGTGTAGACTTTGACCCAACGTGCTGGCTTATCTGGACGATTGTACTGAAAGCAGAATGACATGGACTCCTCGTCGCTCTCGGAGCGCGTGATGCTATCCCAGGTCAGCTCGACCATTTGCGCCTCCAGCGAGCCATCCTCACGGCAGGCGTGCAGCCGAAAGCTCTTCATGCCTGTCAAGAAATCGAAGTAATTAAAAGTGATGGTATTAATGAAAACAAGAGACAAAGAAAACCACTTTAAAAGGACTTTTTAAATTCTTAAATCGTTAAAGCTCACAAAAAGCGTGATACAAAATTCAAATAATAATTTTTTTGTGATATTTTGAGTCGTTTATAGGCGTTTCGAGAAGTATAATCAAATTTTTTGGGTTTTGGAGCCTTATCTCGAAAAGTTTTATAGCAATAAAACATTCTTCAGAGAGAAACATCCTGCTATAGTATTAAGTAATCTTTTTCTGGCATGTTTTCTAAATTTCGATAAAGCCTTATGGCAAATTTATCACAATATGGTAATTACCATGAAATTTAGCCTTATCTTGAACAGTTTTCATAACAATTTATCCCTCTCAATTATTTCTTGAGCACTTTAAAATGGTTCCGATAAAACAAGGGTAAAGCCACTCACCCACGGCGGGCACCACGTGGCCCTCCTTGCGACTATCACAGGAGCAGTGGGGAAAAACAACGTCCCCGTATCCTGGCAGTGTGCGGGCCAAAGCCAGATAGTCGCCCGCCTTCTTGGCGTCCTGCAGCGCCTTCAGCTCGTACAGGCGTCCATCGGCCCGGATATTGCCGCGATTCACCTCGTCGACCGCCTGATAGAAGACAAACCGGGCAGCCTGCTCGCCATCCGGCAGCGTCAGCTCCTTGGCCACCGAGAAGAGCCAGCGTCGGACGCACAGGCAGGTGGACGAGGCGGTACTGTAGTTCTGCACGTACAGCTGATGGGGTATCTCGTGCGGCTGCAGTTTTCGCTCGAAATTGTACTCGACAATCTCGAACAGGTAGAAATACTGCTGCGTGTAGGCGGTGAGATTGGCTCGCTGCACCAGAATCTCCCACACCACCTGGGCATTGGAGGACTTCTTCACCGACACGGTGCTCACTTCGTGGTCGGGCAGCATCACCTTAATGTCCACCGGCGAGGCGGATATATCGTCCTCGGTGTCGGTGAGAAAGTCCTGCACAGCATCACTTTCGGCAATCACCCGCACCGCGCACACCTTCTCCAGATACTGCTCCAGACCACGGCGCCTCGTGTCCAGCTGCTGTTCGCTCAGCTGGAAGGGCCACTTGCCGGGCAGCTTGGGGAAGTTGAAGCCGGAGAACTCCTTGCGCAGCAGCGAGTGCAGGTTGGCGAACTCCCGATAGCGACGCGAACACAGCTGCCTTCCAGCCATGTGTATATTGAAGACAATGTACCGCTCGCCATTCCGGTTCACAATCCCATAGTCGGGTATGCTATGAAGGGAAAACGTATTAATGATCCTTCTAAGATCCTTTGCTGTGCAGGTGCACTCACCTAATGGGCAGCGAGCGTTTGTCCGAGTAATCAATGTAGGAGTAGCCGGTCTGATCCTCCTGCGGCTCCAGTCGATCGGCCTCCTAAGGGTAAGACAAATGTAGATTCAAACGGAATTATAGCATGTTGCCTTTAGAAAAATTTTTCAAATGTTTTCTTTATCCTAAGGTATTTTCTATATATATATAAAACTCTTGTTATTTTTTAATGAATCAATCCAAAACCCTGAATGCAAGAGCTACGGCAATTAATTTTGTACTACATGTTCTTATTGACATAAAAGTTTGTGCTAACAACTTTTTTCCCTAACTTAATGCAACATTAAAGAAAAAATTAAATTTCTTGTTTTATAACTAAGTTAGGACTTAGTTAGGACTTAGAGAACTTAAGTTCGGCAAGCTGAAGTTTATTTACCCTTGCAGATCGTTCCTATGGGAGCAATGTATATACAGAACTTTCCGACTTTTAGAAAATTTAAAATAATCACAGAAATATCAAGACAATGTTGCATTACACATTTTTTTCGTAGTTCTGAAATAATACAAAAATGTTATATACCGGAGTAGAAGAGAATATGATCAAAAATAACGAAGCTATAATTATTTTCCCATTATTTATCCGATTGTATCCCATTTTCTTTTTTTCAATATTTCTTCGAATATTCCTACGGGAACTATAGGGTATAGTTGTCTGATCCCGATATTACGACTTTTGGGAAGGTTTCATCCCGATAGCTTTAAAACTGAGAAAATAGTTTGCATAGAAACGTACAGACAGAGGGACGGACGGACGGACAGACGGACAAACGGACGGACAAACGGACGGACAGACCGACGAACGGACAGACATGGCTATACTCGTCTGGTGATGCTGATCAATAATATATATACTTTATGAGGTCGGAAACGCCTTCTTCACTGCGTTGCAAACTTCTGACTAAAATCATTATACGCTCTGCAATAGTATACTAAAATTTTTAAGCAGTAACTAATATTTTCCTCCTCCCAGGGTATATCTATTTATTTTTTCTCTCACCTGCTGTGTCACCGATATCACTGTCAGAGTTAGGCAGTCACCACCGGATTTGATCAGATCCACGACCTGTTTATGTGTGGCTCCCTCCACGCTGACGCCGTTCCTGCAATGTAATAGAGACAAGCATTAAAATACCTTTCTGTACATAGGAAGAGATATATTTTAGGATCTAGAATGAAATCGAACCGAAGACAGCGCTTCTCTAGAGCTGTCAACTGTGCAAACTGAACGGAATGAAAAGGCAGCATTTCGCTGGAAATTGAAAAACGAGAGTGGAATCGATTCCGAACGATCGTCGCAGGCGGATTAAAGGCGTTGCCATCGGCCACAGATCCATTTAAGCGAAAATAATAACAGTGGGAGCACAGATAATGGATGCATTGACATCGGTGGAGCGTTGATAAGAAACGATTCCATTCTATTCGGGTCAAGTTGGAATCACACGTATCATATCTTTCTAGGATCGAAGCTCTTGACTGAACTTGAAGGTTGATAGACAGAGAAAAAGATAGGGAGAAAAAGACAGCACAAATTAAATAAACCTATTTTAGTGATAAGAAATGTATTGGCATGTTGTAAAAATTACAGGGAATTATTAAAAAAAGTGATGTTTATATAAATTAAATATTAAGCTACAGGGGTCTTAAAATTCAGTGAGAATCAGAGTGGAAAAATATTTATTGCACTGCATAGAATACAGCGATTCAATTCAATTAAGTGGATGCTTTGCAAAATGAAATGGGAACGTCAACAAGTAGCACAAATGTTATTTACACGACCAAGAATCATATTAAGTGAAATCAAATTGATTGCAATAAAAGGCAACAGCGAGTGGCCTTTGATAAGCGCAAAGTATCCAACCCACAGACAGATGAACACCCACATCCGCATCCACATCCACATCCACATCCACATCATCCATTCCTCAAGTTCCTCCACTTCTCCGGTGGAGTCTGTGTGTGCTGCGATGCCTTTCCGGTTTGCAATTTGCCATCCGTGCCGAATGTGAAGTAAATAAGTAAATAAATCCAAGCAGCAGCTATCGCCACATTGTGACGCACTGTGGAACGCTTGAAAAGCTCCACAGAGAGCCTCTCAGCATGACTCACATAGCGACATGTCAGAAATCCAGAAATCCAGAAATCAGGGGACCAGGCATACCATAATACTGGATGCCATTCGTATAATGGCCGATAAACCCAGGGCGGTAGAGCTGGGGGAAATGGAGAATCGGGAACGTGGGGGAGATTCTCAGTGCAGGAGACAGGCGCAGACAACTGAAAGCCTGAAACTGAAACTTAAACCGAGACGAGAGACTCTGCTCCGGAAACCTGTTTTTGCAATGGAACCCAGCCACTTGGTAAAAATAGTTTAAAAAAAAAAAACAAAATACAAAAGCACAATCATAGACAAACACAAAGCTATCTATGCATTTATTTATGGGCAAATGCAAATGCAAATGCCTTTCCCTCTTAATTGTGTTCGACAATATGCGCGAATGTTTTTTTGTTTAACGGGAGAGACTTTATCCAATTTCCCCCGATGCTTGGCGTTTTAATTTGAAACATTTGAGCCATCTTAAGCAGCACACTTGTGGGTGTGAATAAAGCTAAATGGGTGAGAAGAGCTTGTAAGCTGGCGCACAGTGGGACAAGGTGGCGCTGCACAGTGGGCGGCCACCCACAATATTTGTGACGTGAGAAACAACATCTGGGGGCGTTGCGGCTCGTATTATTATAAACAGCTCCTGAGGGCATTCCCACATATCGATTGATATTTACTCATGAACATTTTCAACTGAAAGCATCATATTTATTTAAGGGGACCTCCCCCATTCTCAATTTCAAATGTTCGTGATTTTTAATGGGGGGTGCCAAGTGAATTCCAATTATGTTAGCAAGTTTGTTATTTTATTAGAAATTGGTATTTTAAAGAAAACATCTTTTTTGGTGTTATACCAAAAAAAAAAGGGGGGTTTGTAAGTGCTCTAGTTTGAAGTTCCTTTTTTTTTTTAAATGAAAATCTTTTTTGGTGCCATAATTGAATTTGAAACACAATAATGTAGATACATATATCTAACATAAAATAAAAAACCAGACAATATTCTATAATCAACGTCAAAGGGAGTGCGAGAGGGATGGAGATATGCTTGCAGCAAATCGGCTGTTCTAGTTTATAAACAGAGTCCCCACTAAAATGGTCAGAAAATAGATAATTCCTACACGCAAATAATTTTTAGCTAGAAATTTAAGCGTGATATAGTTATTTAATAAAATTTTGTAAACTAAAATTTAAATTTTTTCAAAAATTTTGGATCAACAATTTTTTGTAAGGCCGCAATCCTTGTAAAAACCTTATTTTTCAGGGGAATTTAGATACAAACTCAAATCTCAAAAGTATCTAGGTCTGTTTAAACCTATGCTTTAAGTACCATTTCACAGTGCCATCATAACTTTTCACAGGGTATCTGAAAAGTTGAAAGGCCAAAGCAACTGTCTTCGACAAATACTAATGGCATTTCTATATTCATATCGGTCAATGTTTATTCGCGATTTGTGTGCTCTCCTCCAGCACTAATTGGACATGGAAATGCGACTGTGCGATGGCATATATGGGGTATTACGGGGAATGCAATTGTTTAAGTTGAGCAAATCGAATAAATATTTGCCAGACACCGAACAAATAATAAAATCAAAAGAAAAAAAAATGTTTATACACAGATTTTTAATAGTTGCGGGCGAAATGAAAATATAATTCGCATATATAGGCTATACAGAGTGGGGTATTGATGTCCAAAAATATGCAGAGAAAAGTGGAGAGCGTATAATATCTATCTACCCGTACATCTGAACGAGAATATCCCCGCTGCATATTCGCAATCAACGAACAAAAGCCAACATACGCCTGCATTTATATTTAATTTACCTTGGACACGTAGTACTCGCTGCTACTCTTGCAACTGAAATGTAATTCCATTAACGGGAATGGAAATCGAAAATTAATTAAGCCCAACAAGAATCCGGTGGAGGACTTGACATGAGTGCTTAACAAGTGTCCTTCTGCCATTGCTTAATTCTCGTTTTCTGTTTCTGTTTGATGTGTTTCTACCCCTCGGAATTGAACTCGAACTCGATTCCCGATTACCACCCCCCCTCCCCCCTGTCATGTTTATTTCTGGCTTAGTTTAGTCCGCATGAAACCGAAAAGTGAAACCTGAAAACATGAAAACCTGAAACCGCCACCGAACTCTAGGAAATGCGGAAATGTGGGCCAGCCAGCCAACCAAGTCGAAACAACAACGACAACGACAACGACGACCACGAGACCACATCCACATCCACATCGTAGTCCCCATCCAATCCAAGTCCATCCAGTGACGTAAATCTATTGATTATTGTCGGGGCATATGCCACAAACCAGCAACAACAACAACTGTAACAACATTGACACAGAACCAAACCGCAAACACAAATTCGTGGCAGCATAAGAAAAACATGCAGGACGACTTGGAGGCCAGGGACTCGATTTAGCAATACCCAATAAATATTTATTAATTAGGGGACAACAACTTGGAGCGGCTTCAAAAGGCTCTATTATTAACTATGAATTATTTCCGAATTTCGGTTTTTGATTTAAGGTTTCTATGTCGAACCGTATTCTCTGCACATATATATTTCAGAAAAATATACTTTTCTTTTATATATATACTTCAATGAATTTTTGGTACTAATTTAATTTCACATATTTTATATTTTGTATAATATTCATACAGTATTTTTAAGGTTACAAAAGCTCTGTTAATAGCTACAAATTATTTTATTTGTATATGAAACCATATTCCCTATCCTCCATAAAAATAAACCCTTATTTTATAGTTTTACTGAGATAAATTTGTTTTTTTAACCCCTGAGACTTTTGGGTAGCACACTAGTCCATATAACACACGTACAAAACAAGGTAACTCGAGCTCCCTATAGGTGGTTCTTATGGTTGGGCAAATGTGCTGGCTACAAATCAGCTAATGACCCTTCAATAACTCAAGCCATATGCCACAAAACATTCGACCCGTGTGGCAAGTTTGAGTTGGGAAATTGTCTGCCACTTGCGTGTTTAAAGGCTTCTTAACACTCAATTTAGTTTCGGCCCGAGAAGATGAACTTTAAATTGTTGGCTTAAACTTGTACATACGAAAAACGTATATGCTATGTACTTGTTTGTGAAGGGAAAATACCTTGGGAGTAATAGGATGAAAGCACAGGAGTTGAAAAGGAAAAAAAAAACGGAGAAAAGAGGGAACAAAAGTGAAGGAAATTTCCGGCTCAAGATGCAATTGTTCGTCTTGGTTTCAATCAAGTTCCTTTTTTTTTATTGTTTGCAATACTGGCAAAGTTGTTCTCTGAATTCTTTGGATGAATTTTTTCGTGTATCTTGGATACGCACTGAAAGAAATTTTTGATATGCAGGGGCAAGATGGAAAACAGATCATATAAAATGGATTTTCCTTCTTTTTTTTTACAGAGTGAACCCATTTTTCTAAATTGAATTCTTTTGAATGTCACGTTTTATAACAATATTTTTTTATTTTTTTATTGTTATATTTATTTTAATGTTTCTATTTGTGCATTTTGCATTGGCATGCCTGTTGTGCATTTTTTACGGGCACTGCTGAGCGGGCGAAACGAAAGGCAGTCTGAAAATAGTACATAATCCCCATTGATTGAATCCCACAACCTTAGAACAACTACCCACGACCTCCCAGTCGCAAGTACAATGTCAAGTGGGCTGGGGGATGGCCAAGTGCAAGACGACGTGCACAAAAGATGCAGTTGGAATATGGCTAAAAAGACTGTCTGACTGCGCCGGGGGGTCCTTGGGGTCCTCAATTATGTCATGTATATCCAGAAGTATCCATTCACTGGTCCCGTTTCCATCGAGAGATGTCTCAAAAGGCCGCTGGCAAAAGGGTTCAGCAACTCATCAAACCCTCTTCAGGACTAATCCTGAACGAGGGTCAACGGACTCATCCATTTCGTTCCTAAACATCCAATAGTCATATTGTCACTCAAAATGGGGCTATTAGATACTTGACAAGCCCAAGTTCAAAGTGCAGCTAAGTTAGTTGTGCCATTAAATCACCCGAATAGTACAACATCTCGACGCTATACTATCAGGCTAAAAACTAAGTGACACAAGTAATTAATGCCCCATTTTCTCGTTGAAATGAATTACGCTTCATGTATGAGTTAATTTAGTCAACAAAGTTGAGACGCAGCAAACACAAATTGTCCAAGGAATTTATTTATTCAATTTAAATGGACAACAAAACAAAGTGGGGGTGTGAAACTTTCTCCGCTGCAATGTGGGTTAAATTCTCTGGCAAATTGTGTTTTCTTTATGCAAAAGTATATTATTTTTAATTGCCTTACTAAAGTGAAGGCAAGGATACACATTAAATTTATTAGATTTTAGATTGTTTGCACCATCAAGGCAATTGAAATTGACCTTTGATTTCATTTTATTGCAGAGTGATATTTAAAACTGATTCTGGGGCAAACTATCAAACTGACGTATCACTTTTAATTACTTTACGGATTAAGGTATCCTAATAAAGGGATTAAATGTATCACATAATTTTAAACGATGCACATTTTTAGTTTTGGGCTTATTTATTCCATTTCAAAGCTAAATTATAATGCTTTCTAATAGTTTTTAGTTTAAGTTCCATCAGGTAAAATCGAAATGGCAGTAGAAAAACATAAAATGACCCAACCTATAGACCTTTTCCCTTCAAATAGTAATACCGAATTTTTTCTGTTCGGATCTAGTTCATTTTTTGGACTTTTATTTCTAGAACCAACCAGCACACCTCGATGAAATCTTCAGCCCCTTTGCGACCCTCACAGAAATACCCATTTCGAAAACCTATGCGGGACCAATCAGTGCGATCTTGAGACCACTTGAGATTCAAAGACCTATCTAATCACCGTATAGCCTGTAGTATTATACTTAGCCACCAGTTCTTTGTGCCTGCCAGTTTGTCCGGCGATTTGAAACCGATTAGAACGATGGCTAGAGGGTTAACATTGGATGATTCCCATTCCCAACTGCTATTCCTCATGGTGGGTGGACTACTCATCGTGGGTTTAGCTATTGTGGACTCTTTGGAATGCTACGCCTGCGATTCCGCAGAGAACTCGGAGTGTGCCACTCGACCGGGTCAGCAGCTGGAAGTGGAGGAGTGTTCCCAGGCCAATGACGAGTGTGTCATCTCGATATCGGCGGGACTTACGCGACGCGGCTGCCTGGCCCGACTATATCCCAATGGCTATTGTGCCGCTCCATGTGACCGTTGTAATACGAGTCTGTGCAATCGACACGTTTATCCCACGGATCGTTTGCGATGCTATCAGTGCAGCGGAGCGGAGTGCATCGATGTGGCCAGTTCACCGCAGTATCTGTTGCCATGTCCGGTCTATAAAGAGGGCGACAGATGCTACACGAACTTGTACCACCTTTCCAACACCATGCGTGGCTGTGAGGCCACCAATATACCGGATAGCTGTCCTCATGTCTGCCTTAAGTGCAACTATAATGGCTGCAATACGGAGAAGACCATCACCGAATCGCGTTGCCTTCAGTGCACCCACAATCGATTGTCTCCTAATCCGGATTGCCTGAGGAACCAGGTCGAATCGGAGGATGCGCAACCAAGGTGCTCATTGGACAACACAACGGTCACACATTGCGTCAACAGGGTGATGTACGGACATCGGGAGAACTGCTTCACCTATCAGAACACCCAAACGGAGCTCGTACAGCGGGGCTGCTCCACCACAATGGGATTCTATTCCAGTGGCGTGGTGACCCAATGCCATGGTGAATTCTGTAATGCCAATTGCCAGGATATCGTCTGTGCCGCCTGCAATTCCACCGCCGATCCAGGATGTCGGGCGGGACGGAATTTGCCAACGGAAAAGTGCGCAGCTGGCACTACGGCCTGCTATTCCTGCGAGCAAGGTTAGGGTGAGTGGGTGGTTTCGGGGCAATCGGGTCTGGGAATACTTATCGAAAGACCCACAAACTAAACTAAACTATACTAAATAAAATGTTTAAAACAAAAAGCACAGCTTGAAGGATTTTTAGTCATGGAAAAACATTACTTTTAATAGATATTGATAATAAAAACCAAATCTAGTTCACGCTTTCACAAAATCTTTACAAATGTGGACGCTAGACAGGTTTAAGCGTTTGTAGGCGTTGGAATAGGCGTGGCTCTCTGCTGAGACAAACTCAAAGTGCCAATTTTCTAGCTTTTATAGTTTTCGAGATCTCAGCCTTCATACGGACGGACAGACATACGGACAGACGGACATGGCTAGTTCGAATCGTCTTGTGATCCTGATCAAGAATATATTATATCTATTTTATAGGGTCGGAAAGAAGGAAGCGTTTCCTATAACACACTTTCCGACGAATCAAATATACTTTTTTACTCTGCGATTAAAGTGGTATAGCGAGCTGTAGAATGTTTTAAAAGAATCCATTTATCATAAACTATTATAATGGATTTAAAACCTAAAATATTTTAGACGTAATCTGCTGCATCTGCATTTAAATATAAAAATTAAAAAAAAAAAGTTGAACCTTTGAAAACATTCCAATTAGAAACCTTTGTATTCTAATGGCTTATAAATGTTGTGTTTAAAATGAATATCGTTATAGATATAAATATACCCCTATTTTTGCAGATACCTTTCTGCGTCGTGGCTGTGCGGATGAGAACTTTGCACCTGCTGGCCCGGGCGACAGTTGTCAATTGTGTCGGGATGCCGATTCGTGCAATCGCTACTCCGTCCGGAGTTGCTATCGCTGCAATGCCCAGGATCAGGACACGGATTGTGCGGCCATGGACCTGCCCTCGGCGATGACGACCAGCAATTGCTCCAGCCCAACGGAGCTGTGTGTCAGCACGGTGGTCAGTCGGCTGGACGGGATCTATACGGTGCGGGGATGCGAGGGTCAGGTGCCGGAGTGCTCCGCCAACGATCCTTACTGCGTCCGGTGCAACGGAAGTCTGTGCAACTATGCACCAACTCTTTGGAGGCAGACGCAAGTCGGTTTGGTTACGGATCCGGATAACTTGCCGGATAACTGGTGGTCACTTCTGCAGTACTGGTGGTCCCGAAAACTCCGATAATAACCTCCAATAAAATGTGTACTGATAACTTTTCAGGGGCATAGCGAGGGGCGGATGTATTTAACGGGAGCAACGCCCCCATCCAAATAAACCATATCATTCAGATAACCAAGGCAAGGTTGACTATACGGGCAATCTATTCCTTATCCAAAAAAAATAATACAAATATATACCCTTGAGGGGGCCTAATATACATGTACAGAAACACAGAAATAACTAAAACTTAGAAATCACTTTGAAAGGCGTTTAAAAGTATGCTACAATGTATTTTCAATACAAAACTGCTATGGATAGTTATAAACCATAGTAACCATTTGTAGTACAATGTAGTAGTTCTATCTAAAACGTAGCTTGAAATAAAGATCGTAGTTATAAAAACTGATTATTTATTAAACATGGTTATTATACGTTTTATAAGCAAAAAAAATTTAATTTCTTTTTCAATGCCAATTGATAGATTTTTTTTACGTAGTTGTGAATGCTAATTACCCATAGGTAACAACCAAGCTAGAGTCCAAAAGCCACTTTGTCTTTAATGTATATACTCATAATCTTAGTAAAATTTTTAGCAAATTTTTATGTCTTTCATATTCAGTAAAGTAAAAGAAATAAGAATAAATTACTGGGATTTAAGCGCTTGGTTCCAGTTGAAAACTGGTTCGCAAAAAGGCGGAAACCAAATGCAAATTTGTTTGCTTTTGCTTTCTGCTTTTTGCTTTTTGCTTGCCCTCTGCAGTTTGTGCTTTTTTGTTGCTTTTGCTTTGCTTCTGCTTTTGTTAGCTCACGCGCAGCCGAATTATGTGTGTCGTTGTTCTTGTTGCTATTTTCGCTGATAATGAAATGATGGACACTGCAAATAGCAACAACAAGCCGCATAATAGACAACCCCCCCCCCCCCTTCACCACCCCTCCCGCCATTTTTGCACGTCACACATTCTGTTTGCAATGGGGAAAAGTGTGGAAAATTTGCGAATTTTTCGTTGCCGACGAGAAGGTGACGATGATAATTAAGTTTGCGTTGGGCGTCGAGCGTCGAGCGACGAAACTTTGGCAAAATTTATTAATTGAATTTCATCCCGAACCGAGGAGATAGTGGGCACTGTAAGCTAGAAAGAGAGAGCGAAACCGCACCCACGTTGAAAATGAATTGAAACTGCAAGAGCAACGAAAAACAGTGAAGACTCTATTGCACCAGACTTTGTTGGAGTGACTTAATTGTGGGGGTTTGATATATCATTTCCTAATATCTAAATCCTACTATGTTTTTAAAAATTTATTGATTTTATAAATAAAAACTTCAAAAGAGTGATTTAATTTTGCCTGTCAAATGATGTTATTTAAATGATTTTAAAAATGTAAACTTTTTAAATAACTTTTTCAGAGTGAATTAATTTTGGGTGTTTTTAAGTATCAATCATATGATAAAACAATTAATAAAAAAATTCTTTTTTTTTTAAATAGAGATCTAAAACACCACATTTTACTGGTTTACCTTGTCGAGAGTTTACTGTATATGAGTAACGAAATAAAATAAAATGATTGATGGACAGCCTTGAATGTGGAGAAAGGGAAGGGAAGAGGAAAAGAGGGAAAGAGAGAGAGAGCAGGACAGAGGATGGCCACTGATAACGGGTATCGAGACTTAAATGTCAAAGATGCTAAACAAAAGCTTTGCTAGACAGAGACAGCAGGTACTGGCAAATAGCAGAGTAAAAGAAAAAAGAAACAATACAAATGAGAAAAGAAAATACAAGTGAGCATTTTAATTAGCCTGCATGCAATAGTGTTGGAATGAGTGCCCATATGTGTGTGTCATAATATTATGCCATTCAAGAAAACATAACAGAAAAAAAGTGAATAGGAGGAGAAAGAGGAGTACCGTCATATAATAAAGTTAGGTTTTAAAGTAGGGAATTAATAAACATTCACCATAAAACCATTACCATAACCATTGTCTCAAAAACGAATAAAATAAAACCAATTCATTGATAAAATTTCTTTAAAGACCTCACGCCACTTGTTTGATTTTTAACTAGGTTATTGGATATTTAAAAGTCTTGATTTATTTTGTGTATTTATTTATAAAATGCTGTTCTCTACGCTGTCAAAACTTTTTAACACAAATCCAGCAAATAAGTCAAAAATCAAGCAAGTGTCATAAGTCCTTAAGGCCTTTATCAACATTCCCCTGACTCATTTTTCTTCACCATCAAACTTCCTCATTCCAGTTTTATTTTAACAGGAATTCATAGAAAACGATAAATGCCTGATAACATTGCATTATTAGAAAGAAATATGAGCTTTGCAGCTGTAGCTGGACTTTATCTTATCCTACCAACGTATTTAATTTGAATAGGTTGTTTACATATTAACTGATATTTGAATTTGAATTTAATTTGAATCTGTTCTTTAAATATTAACTGATAGTTAACAAGTATTTTATTCAAGCTCCAAACTTAATTGTATCTCTCATTATAATGACTCTTGGAATGGCGTTTAAAACATATTTTGTGGTTCCAATCCAATAATCCCTACATATAAATACCATATCCTTTGGCACCTTATTATTCATAGAAATACTGGTTCAAGTGCCTCCCATTTTTCAAACTTCGGATAGCAACCCTCTAAAATGGGTGGATAAATCCGACGGAACAACAACAAAAGCAACAACCACCTCACTCAGAAAAAAGCAACATACACACATACAGGCAAAAGTGTTTATTGATATTCCCGGGCATTTTTGGCCCACTACAAACATACTTCCACTTCCCACTTCACTCCCATCTCCCTCAAACGCCCCATTCCCACCCAAAAAGTGGGCGGGGTCAGAGGTTGGACATGCAAGCCCTTCGTTGGGTTAACTTCACTTACTTAACCCCTGGGGCACCCCAATAATGCCAACACCCTAAGCCCTGCGCTTAAGGCGCTTATTCTGAAGATTGCTTTTTGAATTTTGACAACTTTTTGCAAGTTTTTTCATTTACACCAGGGGTTAAGCAAACATCCTGCTGTACTAAAAACTATACATAGTTCGAGCTATAATTTGATAAAACAAAAGTGTTAAACTAGACCCAAGTTTTAAACCAAATTATCAAGCAGCTTAAAACGAGGATGCCAACATGTTATAGCATCAACTTTTACCCATTTTCCTAATTGGTCATTTGCAATAACTAGCTAACGTATGAACTCAAAGTTTTAAAGGGTTTATTTAGAAGCAAGAAGGTTACTTTTTTGCTTTACACAGATGGTAAAGTGTTTTTAGATATGTCAAAAGTACAATTTTAGGTACAAAAATAATTATTTTCACATTCCTGGATTACAAATAACCATGAATATTTATAAGAACGCAGTTCCTAGGCATTGTAACATTAGGAAGATAAACTCTATATAGAACTAGAATTGTAACCGAAAAGATTTCCATATCACTCTTCGATTCACAATGTTTTACATCAAGTAATTGAGATTTGGGTCCAAAAGAGGGTCCGATCCGGATTACTAATTTAATATAACGTGGAAATATGAAACTTTGCCACAAGTTGTCCTACGAAGTCCTACATCGAAACTACTACCTGACATCTGGAAATTATCAGCACAGATGCGCGAAAGAGGGATCCAAGCCCCTATTAGTATAAACTACTGTGGAAACAATACTTACACTTCCAGAATGCGGTCGCCTTTTTTGATGCCCGCCTTCTCGGCTGCTCCATTTTCAAGGACGGCGCTCACGTGCTGAAGGGGGGCGTACAGCTCGCCATTGATCGAGCGCAGTTGACCCCCCTCGGAAACTTGCCCGCGCACATTGAATCCGAATCCCGTTTCCGTTTTGTAAATGGTGACGACACGGGGTCCATTTGCTGTGGTTACGCCTACGCCCATGACACCCCCTCCGGCCGATGATGCGGACACCACCACTGTGCTGGCGGGGGGTGGGGGTGGGAGGGGGTGGTTCTCGCCAACGATGCTCATTGCGCCGGTCGTTCTTGCTCGCTCGCACTCACTGGTTCTTCACTCGTCTTCCTCACCCCTCTCCTTCGCCGCCTCACCTTCGCCTTTTGCCTCCTCTTTGTTGTTTGCACAATATCTTTTGTTGTGTTGTGGTTATTTTTCTCTTTTATTTTGCGTAATGTTTTTCTGCAACTTCTTTTCGGCACACACCAACACACACGCGGCACGCACGCACACACACACACGTATAGAGACAGGCACCGCCACTTTTACTTTTTCCCCTCCTTTTCCACTCTGCTTCTCTCCACCGCCACTACTCCACAGAAACTCCTCTTCCTCGTTCGCTCTCCTCGGCTGCTCTGCCTCACCTCACACACACGCACGCACACACCGCAAAAAAATATATAATTTAGTGTGTTTTTCCTTTTATTTAACACGTTTCGCGCTGCGCATTTTGTTGCTGGCTTCGCTTCTAGCCGTTGATTTTGCGTTTGGTTTTAGTTAGGTTAGTGATGCAAAAACCCATCGACGCATCGGGCATCGATGTTTTTGGCGATGCCTATCGATGTTTTCTGGAAAATCGATGTTTACCAGTGCTGTCAACTTTTACAAAACAGCTGATAAGCCAACAAAAAAGAAAAAAATAAGAGATTGAAATGAAAGATGAGAAAGTAAAAATTAAGCTTATAAAATGGATACTATCGCGAAGCCTAATACTACTAGAAATTGATTCGCAGCATATGATTCGTACGTTGCTGTTATCGAATCGACATGTGTTTATTTATTAATCAACCCAATTTGCAACAAAATGCATCCCCTTCCTTCCATTCGCTGTTTTAGAATTTCGGTAGTGTGGTATACTCTTTTATATTAAGATACTTTAGTGATATCGCAGTCCAAGCGCATCGATATGTCGGTGGCGTTCTTTCGCGCATATCTGATCAGCTGACTTGCAATCGATACCTATCGGGCTGACCAACACTGTTATCGCTAGCCGGAAACGTGACGAAAGCAATCCAAACATTTCAGAAGCGCGCAGTGAAGTGACGAATGAAATATAATAAAATGAACATGTTTAAAAAATGCCTCCAATTAACGAATTAATTTTTCCTTAAATGATATTTAGTATTACAAAATAAAACTTAACACTTTTATTTTTGTAAAATAATATACATTTTAAGTTTTTTGAACTGAACGACAAACTAGACCAAAGCGATATTTTTCTTAAAAAATGTGAATTTTCAGCAAATTAATTCAACTATTGAGAAGGCAAAAATTCCCATTATATTTAAAAATAGCTCGTTTCATGTAGCTTTTTAAACAAACCACAAAAAATATAAGAACATCAAAGATTCTTGTGACTTATTGGGTTTATTTCACATTTAAGCAATATATTGTTAAGACACCCATTACTTGAAAAAAAAATGTTTGCATATATTTTCCAAATTGTTTATGTACAATACACTCTTGTATAAAGACTTTCCCGCTCTTTCAAGATTTTATAAATCTGATTTAAGCATCGTTTTTAACGATATGCTTTAGAAAAATAGTTGCAGCTACCCAAACACCATTGTACCATATCTTTGTCCCCAAAATTAGACGACTGAAAGTAATATAAGGAGTATCGAAGGTTTTGGAGGCGTGACCGCGACCATGAAAAGGGATCATTCATAATTCATACATAGGGCATGGTCGCCGACGCTTTTGGACAAGGATGGGGAAGCTGAAAAATTATGTTTCATGGGAGACGATGATTTCGGGGACTCAAAAACCATAGATACTACCCCCCAACACATGATGTTGAATGCAATGCTCCTCTTTTTATTTTCGTTTGATTTCGTATTGTTTTCGGTTTGTTTTACTGCTGTTCTGTTGTTGATGTCTTATGAAATTTGTTAGATACGCAATGTCTAAGTTGTACATAATTATTTAATCCTGAAGCAGTACTAAAATCACTGCCCTCCGCCTAACTACTAGTAAACGTTTCCTCTTTTTGTTGTTATTACTCAATTACTCACAGGTCATGCATACAAACATACACGTAAAAAAATAGTGCAAAAATGTATTACTTTTTCTTGTTTTTATATATATATATAACAAACGGTACGTTTTTCTTTTGCTTATCGTTTTATCTGCCTTTCAAATAATTATTGCGGGTTCTTATAGGCAATGCTCACATTGCAATTTGCATAAATATTTAATAAAGTATACAATTACATAAGAGCAAAAAGAAAGGGAGGGTTCGAAGAAACCAAAAATACATAATAATACAATTATTTTAGATAATGAAACGCTGACCCGATTTAGGCAATAAATATATATATGTATACATATGTGTGTAAAGTGCTTTTCTTTTTACGTTCTCTATTCGATTGGCTAAAATCAAAGCGAATTGTTCTTGAAACATGTCCAACAAAAATTGGCTAAAACGTATGAGGCTCAATAAGCTCAAGCTTTTCCTAGACTTTCCCTTTTTTTATACACATACAATATACAATTAATTTGATAAAAGTCTAATTAAAATAATTCCTAAGTCCTTAGACGTACAAGAGAAAAATAATTGTATAAGTATTACTAAGTAAAAAAAAAAATACAACTTAATCGGCTGCTACAAAAATCATTTCGTTTTTTCTTTTTCTTTTAAGTTTTATCGTTAACTAACGGCTAGCTTAGGTTTTTATATATATTATAATTACATGTATCTTGCCTGCTCGGCGAGTGGATTTTAATCCGCACGCCCTACAAAATTCCTAAACTCATTAAATACTAAGAAATCACCCTCAAAAATGTGGTGTTTTCTCTGCTTTAGAATTGTTGCTGCTTGTTGATTTTGTTGTTGCTTATGTTGTTGTTGGTTGTTTGGTATGCGATATAGTGGCTATATCCCCGGCGTTGATCCCGATCGCGATCCAGATCCTGTGGACTGGCTGTAATGCCATCTATTTACAGTACATGGAAATTGACGAGAATTTTTGGCTGCCGCGGCTGCTCTCCGATTTCGATTTCGTTGACATCACAGACAGATGGATTGGATGACCCCGCAGGCTCAGTGGTGCCACATGAGCCATCGTTAACTCTTGGCGACGGCCTGCTCCGCGTTGGCCGCTGGTCCAGTAATTCCACTCGCTAATCCAGCAGTTAACTGCTGCTTTCGATCCCACCACTCTTGGATGCTGGACGCCATACGATGTCGGCGGAAGCGCAACGATTCCCCGATACACATCTCCACGAAATCCGACTGCATCTCTTGATCGCCCTTCACCAGGTTCATGTGCTCCAGGAGCTGGCTATAATCACGTCCGGGTCGCCGAATGTCCCGGAAAATCTGGAGGCGCAGTTCAATGTTGTGCACCCGGGCCGATTCGCGTTGCTCCTCGCTGAGAGTGAGGGGCAGTGATTGTCCCGGCGAATTCATCCCCCCGTTGTTGTGCGTCGGCGATGAACCGCAGCTGGAGTTGCTCTTGACCTCCAGTTTGCAGGGACTGCTATTATTGTGGCCCCGGTGGTTATGATTGTTGCTTATCACAGAAGTGCCTGCTGTTCCACCGGCACTGTTATTGTTGTTATTATTGTGATGATTGAGACCGCTGGCCCAGTAATAGTGGGGATTCCCCGCTCCAGTGCCGCCCACGAGTCCCGCAGTTCGTTTAAGGGCATCAAAACTGTTGCCACCCAGCGAGGCATGATCCTCCGGTGAGGCTCCTCCACTTTCCGTACTCCCATTGCCATTTAAATTGCTATTAATGACTCCCGCTCCTCCCGAGGAGCCACTGCTGGTTCCGTTGTGGCAGGTCTGAAGTATCCGCGAGATCTCCGAGGCATCGTTGATGTCATTGTGGCTGAAGTAGGTGGAACTAGAGCTGGAGCTCGATAATAATCCTGATGAGCTGGAAGCGACTACACCACTTGTTGCCAGAGGCGTTGGTGGCACCAAAGACAATGGCGATGGTGGAGAAATGGCTGAACTGTGCGCATGTCCATAGCCATTGGCTAACGGCAGCGATCCCGGCTTGTTGATACTCAGTAACCCTGCTCCTGCACCAGTCACCGCTCCACCCAGGGAACTCAGGTTGTCCAGCGGCGAGCTCAGGCCACCCAGATTGCTGCTGTAGGCCGCATGGGTGGTCAGCCCGTTGAGGGGCACATAGAGAACTCCCGAGGAACTGGCGCTGGAACTGGAGCTGGAAATGGTGGAACTACTGCTCCCGGCTGCGGTTACGGGGCAAACTTCGCTGCCATTGCTGGCCTGGATCACAGATGCGGCTGGTGTTGCTGCTGTCACAGCTGGTAATGTTCCAGCTGTCGGTTCGTTAGCTGGAGAAGCCCCCGGCAGGGAAGCACCGCCTATTACCGGTTCCGTTTCCGCCGTTGTCGCATCATCGCTGATGCCATTTATAAAGTTGTGCACATAGCCATTGAGCGGTGTGTCCTGGTCGCTGGTCTCCTCCTCGTTGAAATCGAAACCAATGCCCAAGCGATCCGTATGCGACATGGACATCCCGGAATCACTTGATGATGCCTCCGATGTGGAGCTCACAAAGCTACTGTTGCTATTGCTGTCCTCGTCGAAACAACTGGCACTGGGACTACCATCGGCTCCACCGGAGGAATCGCAGCCGGCTATGGATGATGTGGCTCCTGGTATTGGTGATCCCGGCGCACTGCCCGTTGTTGAGGAGACGGAGCTGGAGCAGGAAGATCGCGAATCCGTTGACATTCGACGAAATTCAAAGGCACGTGGCAGCGGACCGGCTTTCCTTTTTCGCCCCCTCGAAGTACCATCGAGTTTCTTGGATGAACCACCACTGCCACTGGCTCCAAGCATGAGTCCGGACATTCCGCCGCCCATTCCGGGCATCCCAGGACCCGAACCACCGCCAGGCGAAGAACCCGGGGAAGAGGGTCCTCCTCCAGTGGGCGAGCCAGATCCGGAAGGAGAACCGGGTGGTGCACCACCTGGTCCATTGCCATTTGGCGACTTCATGGGCGCCACATCGCTCAGATCCGCCTCGTCCACCATCACCATGTGCTTGTCCTTCTTGTACGGATTGCCAAACATGTGCTGCCGCACATTCGTCGGCTCGATCTCACGCAGAGGATTGTCCTTGTTCTTGAGGTACTCCTGGTAGTTGCCCATCTCGGCAATAGGCAGGCAGTGGCCCGAATCCTTGGCCACCAGCGAGGCGGGTCGCAGGAATGTCTCCCGCATCCTGGCTATTTCCTCCACCAAATCCCGCCTTGGTATATCGAATGGATTGCGATACGTCTTGGCGGACGACTGATGCGTCAGCTGCGGCACCACAATCGTATAGTTCTCCAACGGCTCAATTTCCGCATGCAACTTGGCGAATGTGTCCCGCAGCAATGGATGTCGCACCAAATCCCTCCGCAACGCAGCTCCCGAGCAAAGTTTGGCCGTCTCCACTTGGCGATACGGTGGCTTCGGCTGTTTCAATTGCTTATAGACCTTCAGGCAGAGATTCTCCTGATCCTGCTTGGCCGTGTTCTTGATGTGCTTCAGCTGATTGGCGATCGTCGGCGACAAGTAGTTGTCCACATTCTCCGGCAGCAGGAACTGCAACAGCTGATACGGCACATTGATGTTGACCAGCGCCTTGCGCAAAAACGGGCAGTAATACGGCGGTATCGAGCGCACATAGGCGTTGAATTTGTACATCAGATCGTTTGGCGGACTCATATTGTACTTGTGGATGAGGTCGTGCAGGATGGGCAGCAACGCTGGATAATTGTAGGCCAATACGTAGAGGTGAACCTGCGAGAAGTTCGGCGCCGCTTTGAGGTAACCAAAGGGCAGCTCGAATCCATGCATCCCGTTGGTAACAATAACCTGCCAGCACTTGTTCATCTCCCGCTTATTAAGAATCTGCAGCGTCAACGGACAGCCTTCTATCTCATACTTGTCCACGGGGAAGCTGCGCACCAACTGCGGCTCATCCACTGCCGGCGTCAGGATCTTCAGCTTGGGATGTGCGTCGCGAGGGGGCAATGTGATCGCCTTGGAGTCCGGCCAATAGGGCTCCGGCAGTGGCCAATAGCCGATGGGGAAGGTCTTCTGCGTGATGTGCTTCTGCACGTAGATCATCTTCTTCACCGGTTGGAAGACAATGTCGGGTGGTGGATCCGCTCCGGACGTTAAGGATATACCGGAGCCGGTGATCGAAATCGAGCCCGTACCCACCGATCCACCAGAAGCAGCACTGGCACCCGCCTCCTTCGGAAGCAGTGGCTCAAACTGCAGCACCACACCCGGCTGGACCTTTTGGACAAGACTTTCGATGCACTGGTTGAGGACGTAATGGCTTCGGACTCGATATGAGCGACCACCCGTCACCTCGCACATCCGTTCGATGGGGGAATCATCATGCGGCACCTTGCCATCCACTCGCTCGTCGATCTTGTTGCCCGGCATTCGGAGGACCAGCGAAAACAATCGCTGATCCCATCGAAAGGGCTCCTTAGTGAACTTTGTGCCCGGTATTTGGTTGCTAAGCGGCAGTATGATCTCCTGGTGGACACCGTTCCGGTACGAATACCGTCCGCCGTCCGTAATCACAATGATGACCGATGGTTCCAGGTAAAAGGGACACCTGCCCTGACCATACGTATCGATGCCCGACTGCATCCGATTCAGATTCAGCAGATCGAAGGCGTTGCGCAGCGATTCACCCATCGAGGTGAGGCCGTGGCTCTGGAGGTTCTTCAGTTCGTTCATGAAGGTGGCATGGTTCTCCTTCCACCCAGCCTTCACATTCGCCGGTGGCTCCTCGAACGTAAGCAGCATGTAGCGATCACCCAGGCAATCCTGCGTCCGCTGGCGATACTTCAAGAATGTCTCCACGGCGCCCTTGGCAATGTCCAGATACGTCTTTTGCACCCCATTCACATACGCCTTCTGGCACATGGACGACGAGGTGTCCACCAGGAAGAGTATGATTGTCATGGCGGTGATTGGTCCTGCGTTATGTTGACCTCCTTTCCCGAACCGGGTATTGCTCTGTTATCCCTATAAAAGAAGAAACGTTTTTAGAAAGAGCTAAAAGTTTAATTATTTAAAAAGGGTTGCACAACGATTTTACATCAGCTGATATGGGTTATAGGGTTTCGTTTTTACGATAAAATCTAGGTTAGTCCCTAAAAAGGATTATTTTCCTATTGCTACAGGTTACAACCTTTAATAATTTTTTTTTAAAGATTTGCTTGTTCTACCAATTAACTGTGTTAAAGTATTCAAATTTAGTTTTCTTTAGTGAATTTATCAAAAATACAATATCATAGTAATTATTTAAAGGTTGTGCTTACCATGGAGTAAGTAAAAGTCGGTTAAACGTTACAATATCTTGATACTTCCATAATAGGGTTAATATACCTTTAATCATTCTTCAAAACTTTAATTTTTTACCAACTAACTGTGTTAAAGATTTCGAATTACTTTACTTCAATCAAATTTTCAAAAATACAATTTTATAATAATTTTCTAAATGATTTGCTTACCATAGAGTACGTAACAGTCGGTTAAACATTACGATGTCTTGGTACTTCTATAATACAAGTATTTATACATAATTAAATTAAACCATGACGCAATTTATTTCTAAGACAAAACAAATTGAAATCTCACAGTGACGCACCAAAATAAAATGAGTAGAGTTTAGAGTTTAAAGCCCAAAAATAGATTTTTTATATGCAATAAAGGCAGAAACACGGGTTTAAAATCCGTGTTTATAAACAACAAACAGAAGCCATTGACGAAATGTAATTAAATTTGCTTTGATTTTCGAAGTTCCTAAATTAAGTTACTAGGTTACTACGAACATTTCACCAGTTTTCATAAATAGCTAAGGTCAATAAATGAAACTTTTAATTTTTTTTATTTTTAAGTCAGGTATAAAAACAAATTATAATCAAGAAATACCTACAAGGTGTTCATGTGTTTACTATGCACTTCAAAAAGTTTGATTTCCGGAAAACTAGTTTTGATATTTGATTTTCCAATTTCACAAAGTTTTGAAAGCGTTATCGATTTGTGCCACCAATCGATAATCGAGCTTTACTTACTTGATCGGTTATCGTTGATCTTCCTTTTTTCTCTTGTTCTCTTTTCACTGAGCTCGGTTGCGCTTTCTCCTTCTCTTTCCCTCGCTCTCTTTCTTCTTGCTGTCTTTTTGTTGTTGCTATCTCCCTTTGTGTGTATGTGTGTGTTTAGTTTTTGTTTACGTTGTTAGCAGCTCTCTTCATCTGCTTGTTGTTGCTTCTGCTGATTCTCTTGCTTTTGCTGTTCTTGTCCTGGGCTTGATCGATTTGCTCTTTTTCTGCGTTTCGCTGTCCCGCTTTTATGGTACATGTTGCGTGAAACAGCTGACATTTGGACTGGATAAACAACAACAACGAACTGCAATTGGAAACGGGAAAAAACGAAATGGTAATGAAACGCTCATGCAACTGGTTGTTCGATATCAATAGGTTGCGCATACGCACTGTGTGCAATCGATTAAGGGGGTAATATAAACACACATAGAGATAATGGAACTGCGTAATCACCGCTATCACACACAAAAGCTACGAACTCTGGTTGTATAAAACAAGTGCTAATTAAACAACAAAATGGAATTAAATTCCCAGGGGGTCAGTGGTAGTTGGTCCTCGAGAGCTGCGTTTCGTGGATATTTATGGGGGTGGGGGGTGGCGATTTCGCTTTGACACAAATCCAAATCCACTCCACTCACTGGCCATTTACTCCTTCGCTCCCCTTCTCCTCTCGCCGCGTTCCATCTAATTTGTCTGTGCCCCTTCCTCTTTCTCTTTCTATTGATGCCCCACTACGGAGTCATTCACTCGATGCCACTGCCACCACTACTACGCTCTGCTGGCGTCGCCTAGAGATGAGCGCGTGAGCCAGGTGGACGAGACTCGTGAGCAGATTGTCAAAAAATTGGATTAAAAAAAATACCTAATAATAACCGTGACCTGGTAAATCATTCTTCTTCAACCATTTTACAAAGTACTAACGGTTTTCTTTAAATGAATAGTTAGTAAATTATATATTCACATATCAAAGAGACTGATTTTAAAACATTTTAATAGACGTGGCGAGACAATCATGAGCAAATTTGCCCTCTCCAGGAATATCCCGAAAAAACATGTTACGATTTCCTCACAATCTCCACGTTATATTTATTTGCTACTGTCTTTAGCGAAATAGATAACTCTCCTCACCATCGCCAAAAAACAAGGTAAGAGGTAACCGTAGAGTAAATCGATTACACAATGCCAACGCTCACGATCGTGAGTGTGTGTGCGAGAGGAGCGGAGCGGAGCACGACCTACGCATCTCTGGCGGAGAGCGAGGGAGATGGATGCCGAAAGAAGTACGAGGAGGAGGGGAAAGGCGGATGCCAGGGGGAGGAATGCGGGAGCGATTAACCAAAGCCGGGTTAACGATAACGATCACTCGGCGATCGCACGCTTAACCCATATCCCTGCACTGGAAATTAGGGCAAGTGCCCAGTTAAGAAATGTTATTACCAGGGGAGCCGTAATTGTCTCGAATCCGAGTGCAAAACATTCAATTTCTATTTGAATAAGAGCGCAAACACACACAAACACTAGCGCACATGGATATGCACACGCAAACACACTCGCAGAGCGACGTAGGGTTGCCAGACGTCCCCATCTTCGACAGGTGAAAAAGGCTGCGGAATTTAAAAGATTCCTTATTAATTTCACCAAATGGTCTTGAGAAGAAAATCACAGTTTCTGGGTTAAACGACTGGTGTGTGATTTATCGCTGATCCGGCAACCCTGCGGCAGTGTGGGTGGGGTGACGGGTGGCTGCGGGGGGGCGAGTCGAGTCGGCCTATTGTGTTCGATGGCAATCCACAAAGCTCACACACACGTCTCAAAAACGATGATATAGGGCCGAGCACTTCAAGTAATCGAGTTTTTGCGGCTAATTAATCTCAACGCAGCGATGTTTTGGCCAACCAAATGACACGGCTCCTCGACGGAATTCACTTATGCAGCCGCGCCAGGGTTGCCAAAGCACGGCGCTCGGGGAGCAGGCGATAAACCAAACACACCGTTTCTTGTGTTTAGAAAAAGGGGGCGTTCAAAAAGGGGTGCACAGCCTTTGATTGGTGGTCATTTTTCATTTGGATGACCTTAATTTGCATGTGATAATGCTGATTAGTGCGGTCGCGTTATCGCCCGAGCAATCGTTATCGCCAGAGTTGCAACCCGCACGCGTATCGACTGCCCGCCAAAGCTTTCGAATTTCGAAATGACTGGTGCGGTAAATGTGCGATTTTTAAGGATCGCATGCTTAATATTTAAGTTTTTGATTTTTACTCTCTCTCAAAAAAAAACAACACTCTCACACATTCACACCGGCAGCATCTTCAGGTAGTAGTTTTGTGGGGAAAAAACAAAAATAAAAAAAATCACTCAACAAAAAGAATGTCTCTCTCCTCCCAATACTTGCAATAATTTTCGATTAGCTTCTATATGCCGCGCCACGATTTTTTATTCTGTTATATTTTTACTTTGTGCCAACAGAAATTTATCACCACCGCGCGAGAGCGAGAACACACATCCACACACACACACCACACACGACACACTGAGCGGGAGGAGTATGTGGCGCTCTCTTTCGCTCTGCCGCGAAGGTGCATGAGCGAGAACGACCGACAGAACAGACGCGACTAACGGTCGGACCGACCGAACGACCGTCGCTATTGCCGTCCCCCTCTCGCACGTTGGATTCGAATATCGGGGAGTTGTTGCTTACACGCACACACATACACAAGCACACGCACACTGGCGCCTCGTCACTGTTGTTGCGTTGCCGTCGTCCGCTCCTGCTTCTTCTTCGTATTATTCGTCTCGTTCTCTTCGGATTTTCCTTTGCTGCTACAACACAACACAACCTTATTCACGAGCAGCGCTCTGATTACTGTGCTTCGAAGCGAGCAACAACAAATGGCCAAGTCGTTGGGGGTGGCACTGCGATCTATCGATACAGTCGATACTATCGTGCTATAGTGTGTCGATAGCATTTAGAAAAAATTTGGAAATTCTGGTTGCACATTTTCGACGGGATATCGCCGTACTTCAATAATAACACAGTGCAACATGGAAAATGTATCCGCAGTTCGGATTATAACCTATTGGGGGTTTCTCTGGGTAAGCTCGCGTTTGAATATTATAGCGATTCAAGGATGTGTGACTTGATTAATAAGGGCAGTATTTCTTAAGCCCCTTAAAATTTCAACACTGTTAAAAGTAAGCCCATAGAGAAGTACAAAATATAAATCACTTCTTTCAAAACGTGGATTATCGAAATGTACTGAAAAATTAAAAAGAAATAAATCATTCGGTATTAACATACCATAAATAGAAAATGCTATTTTTCGGAAATTTCATAATACCATCACTTTTTTGTAAAACTTGGTTTTGCATTTTAATCCCTACGTCCATACCTATTATAACTCTGAAGACATGAAAATTCAACTTCAATCGGCTATAGCCCAGAGAAACCTTCAATTGCGTTTAACTCGTATCAATTAGAACTTTCAGATTTCGAAATCCGAAATGCGGTTACACTCCAAAACGCTTAAAATTATGAATTGTGAATTTTTTTGATTCCATGGACACATTTAACACATTCATGTACCAAACCAAAACTGGGTGGCTTGCTTCGAATTAAAATTTTAAAAACCATTTTTACCTATATGTATAATTTATAAAAAGGGCTCCAAAAGGCAAAATACAGTGCTTCAAAAACTTTAAAATATAGCTTACCTTTATAATTGTTATACTATTTATAGTCACATTTTGAAACATTAGGGAAATGTTGCCCTAAAGTTTAAAGTGAACATTAAATGTGTCTGGGAATCATTCGCACAGAACGATTCTGGTAAGGTTATCGATGTTTCGACAGTTTATGAAGCGCCATCTACTCTGCGCTCTTTTCAAAAATTATACATATTTTTTAAACGGATAAATTAATGATTGCTTTCACATTTTTTAACCTTAAAAACGCAAGGCCAAATTGCTACACAATTTTGTTTTAATTTGAATACGAATCAAGGCGCAGTGGCTTGCCACTCTCACGTCGAGAATTTAATTACTGCCAAAGAATTTGTAACACCTTGTATCATAGTGGCAGTGTTGCGACCAACAACACGATGATTTAAAATGAAAAAAAAAAAACTAAAAACTTAAAGTTCTGGTATTTCGTATGATATATGGCATTGAACTCTCATTTTATATAGTTTTCAGTTTATGTGTTCATTAATAATTATTTTTTTATTATTAATAATTATTTGAGGTATTTTTATTTCATGTCATGTCCTTATTTTTCATCTTCCCTTTAATATGTAGTCGTTAATTCGCATTAAAATTGTTTACGTTTTACCAATTTTTTATCACCCTTGTTTTATTCATATTTATGTACCGTCCATGTTTATATAATAAATTTGTACTGTTTTGTGTTAGAGGGAAGTCATTCAAAACCGAAGTATTTGTGTATTCATTCAGCTTAAAAAAATTAAAAAAAAAAAAAATATTGGACAGAGCTCATACAAGGGGAAAAAAAAATTAGTTGAATACAAATATATTTTTCAAAAGTTATGCAAGTTTCATACAAACAGAAAGAAATTTAGTTACATAGAAATTTTGTTGACTGGCAGAAACACGAAAATGTGAGTTTAAAAAAAAAGGGCAACATGCTAATTTTGTTGAATGTTGTCCATAAACCATTCGAATAGGTATTTTGTAAGTTGCAATTAATGTGATGTAAGCATTGTTTAGCACCAGTTTTTAACTGAAATGCAAAAAAAAAGTTTTTAAATGAATTTCAAATAAATTCGATTTTGAATGACTTAAAAAAATTATCCCCAATTCTTAGTAATACATTTCGTTTCGAGATCAGGGTTCACCTACCACTAGCGTTTTGTGGTACGTGTAGTGTAAACGATGTAAAAAAAAACATAACAAACTAAAATAGCAGCAGCGGATGGAACGCACGCATTGGGATCCGCTGCATAGTCAACGTTCTGTACATGGAATGTTTTTTTGTAGAGTATAGGATTGCTAACCCTACTTGCGATGGGCCCTGTAGCTAGGCAGACGGTTGCGAGTTCTGTTCGCCACGCAAGACAGATCCATGTTGCGAGTCGGATTTGAGCTGGCCATGGTCCTGCGGCGCAAGTTTCTGCCTGGTGGCGATTGGCCATTGGAGCGACTGGCGGCTGCCTCCGGAGTGATGGAGCGCAAGCAGCCGTTCATGCTAGGCTCCGGCGTGTTGGTGCCGAAGTTGCGCCTACGTGTTGGCATAGCAGGTGGGGAAGGAGACACGGCGCGCTTCTTCGGCTTGCGCTTGTTCCTCTTTTCGGCATCAGTATCGGATTCATCGTCAGAATCAAGCATTCTGGCGGGCATTGTGCGACGGGAGCGCAAAGAACGCCTGCCAGTGTTAGATGAGGAGCTGCTTGGATCGGTGTTCTCCTGGTTCTGGGCCCGCAGTCTAAGGCTGCTGCGACGTGGTGCAGTTCGGGCCGATCCGCCTGCTGCAGTGGAACGGGTCATCCTGCGGTTAACTAATATCTGCGCAGCCGCAGCAGATGTAGAGGGCTGATCATCGGACGAAGACTCGATAACATCAGCGATCGTCTGCTGACGTTCCTGCATTTCAGCCGCACGCTGGAACACTTCGTCGTCGTCCTCGGTGTCATTACCATTATTAAGATCCCAGCCGGAGGTATACAGCTTGGGCTGGACATTATCACGCTCATTGGTCAAGACAATTGTGTGCTCAGTTCTGGGGAGTGTTTGGTTAGCAGCCTCCTGGGCGAATGACTCGAAAGTGTCGCTTTCGTCGGAGTTCATCGACTCGTTGTCATCGTCAGCCGGGGACGGCGGAACGGGCGAGACGACCGCGCAAACATGGCAGACGTAAGTATCAAATGCTTGGCCGATGCACAAGCCGTGTGCCGGATTGGAGCCGCAAATATTGCAATACAGCAGCAGGATGGAGTTGTCTGTGCGGCCGGCCAGCGCCATGCATTCTTCGGCAACGCAGACCATGTCGCGACGGAAATGTTCCGCGAAGGCATTGGGCTCAGTCTCCCAAGTGGCGTCCCTGGCGAAAAGTTGAAATATTAGTGTGGGGGGAACCATATATACATATATTCATTCCGGACTTACTGGCTAGACATTGCGATGCCCATGAGGGTCACGTCGTGGAACTCCTCTGTATTGTTGCATAGTGGACACTTGAAGAAGTACCCGGAAGTGTTGGCGTACATCTGTAGGCATTTGCGGTGGTACCAGCCGTTCCGGCAGCATGGCGAATAAAGCATGTTCACCACATTGAAGCGTTCGCCCTCCTCGACCAGCAGCTCCGTGCAGATGACACAGATGGTGTCCGAGCTAGCCGGGCGACGGCGATGGGTGATAACATGGCGGTGGCAGTACGACTTGTATGTCCCACGAAACTGGTTCTGGGCGAGATTGTCGATGCCGCACTTCGTGTGGAAGGTTCGACGGCAGCCGGACTTGCAGCAACCGATATTGGCGCCCGGGCGGTGGCAGTAAACACAAAGAAGAGGGAAGCAACGCCTGGCCTCGGCGCGGATGTCTTCCATCAGGAAGCGCAAGATGCCGACACGGTTGTTACCGCGCTGGACGAGATTGGAGCTCAGGTACTGCAAGAGGGGGAGCGGAGGGGAAGCGAGAGACAGGGCGAAAGGGGTTTCAGACGGTTTTGCCCGGCATGGCCTTTAAAATTAATGGCACTTACCAGACAGTTGTGGTGCACCATAATATTTCCTTCCTCGATGGTGCGGCCGAAGGACAATGGATCCTCCGTTTCGCTGCTGCGACACAGCACACACATCTTTGCCATGATTGCCTTTTAGTTTGCTCACCTTTTATTGTTGAATTGTATTCACAAAGTAAGAACTAAATTCTCCGAATTGCTGACAAAAAAAAGGCCGAGCCGAGAGTTGTCGCGCGCTAAATGCCAATGAATCGGAGATCAACCCTGCTGTCACTAGTACTTCGATTGTCACCAGTGTGACCAGGCCGCACCGCACCAACCCCGCCACAATTTGAATTATGTTTTTATCGATATTTTCTATTGTTATGCTAAGTATTTTCCGTTTTTTGTATAGCCTTGCAAAAAATTTAGTTTGAGTTTATAGTGTATTTTTTCGCTTTTTTATCCAGAATGGGTTCGACTTAAATGCCTGGTCTGGCTTTAGTTTAGCTGTCTTTAATAATAATAATAAATATCGGTAACACTATAAATATAACAATCAATTAACTTATTTTCGGTAAAAAAGGAGCGTACAAATAGTACTCTACCTTTTCTTAATTCATGGTACATTGTGTGTGTGTGGGTGAGTGAAATATCGATAATAGTTAACAGAATTAATCTTAAGCCCAATGACGTAAATTCTTTACAACTATTCCCGCCTTTTTAATTTTTATTCTCAATTTCTGTGCACAATGCTAAAGTTGCGGTGGCAATAGATATCGTTTTTCAAATAAACTTTTAATAAAAAACGATGAGTAAAATATCGATAATAATTAACTGAAATATTATTAAAAAACCATCAATTAAGAAACATTTTTTATAATTGTTCTGGCCATTTTGACTTTTATGTATGCACGATTGCTGTGCGCAATGCTGCAGTTGCGGTATCCTTTTTAAAACTTTTAATAATAAGCGATGAGTAAAATATCGATGAGAATTAACAGAATTTTTATCAAAAAACCATGAATTAATTTTAATTATTTACAATTGGAATAGGCTTTTTGATTTTTATGTATCTACGATTGCTGTGCGCAATACAATAGTTGCAATGGCAATAGATATCGCTTTTCAAACTTTTAATAAAAACCATTTGCTTATAAAGTGATTGTCAAGAAATTGAGAATGCAGCTTTGAATTTTTGACGTTGTAAATTCTAGTTAGCGTTATAGTTAGAACCAACTTGATCACTGATTACCGGTCCAACTGTGATCCGTGATCATGTTGTTCTGCTGAGCGCGGCCAATTTGAATGCCCCAACCAGATGGCATCACTACCACTTATCGATAAACAAACAAAACTAATTTCGGTACCGCAACAAGTTTATTTGATTTGAAATAAGTTTATTTGCACGATAATGTCGCTCTCCCGAATGAATACGCTGATGAAGCTGGCACCCAAGTCCACCGGTAGGTGCCTATGACCCCGATAAGCAGAAATCCCGACCTATGGGTCCAAGATCTGGGTTCGGTTCAAAGTCCGAAAGTGCCGGTGAACTGAACCTTTGCCTTTATGTGAACTCAATTCTAATTCATTTCCACTAGCCATCCGAACCATCCAGATGCAGCCCCAGAGGAACCTCTCTGCCCACGCCCACCCGGAATCCGGACCCACTGGCCACTTCAAGACCCTGGCCATCAGTTCGCCCAAACCGTTCGTCTTCCATGTGGAGCTCCATCGTCCCAGCAAGTTCAATGCCATCAACAGGCAGATGTGGCTGTGGGTTTATTAGTAGCTCTAGCTCAGATCCCAGTCCCGGAACACTGGCTAACCTCCATTCCGTTTGCAGGGAGATCAAGGAGTGCATCGACGGACTGGCCATCAATCCAGATTGCCGAGCTATAGTTGTGTCCGCCGCTGGGAAGCACTTCACCGCCGGCATCGATCTCAACGACATGATGAGCCTGGGCCAGACGCTGGCCGAGACCGACGACTATGCCCGCAAGGGCGTCATCTTAGAGCGAATGATCAAGCTGTATCAGGACTCGATGAGCAGCCTGGAGCAGTGCCCTAAGCCGGTGATCACGGCCGTGCACAAGGCGTGTATTGGGGCGGGCGTGGACCTGATCACCGCCTCCGACATCCGCTACTGCACCGAGGACGCCTTCTTCCAGGTCAAGGAGGTGGACATCGGTATGGCCGCCGATGTGGGCACTTTGCAGCGTCTGCCCAAGGCGGTGGGCAGCCAGTCTCTTGCCCGGGAGCTCTGCTTCACCGGCCGTAAGTTCGAGGCGGCCGAGGCCCATTCCTCCGGTCTGGTGAGTCGCGTCTTTCCGGACAAGGAGTCTCTGCTGAGCGGAGCCTTGGCTCTGGCCGAGGTCATTGCCAGCAAGAGCCCCATTGCGGTGCAGACAACCAAGGAAAATCTTACCTACTCGCTGGAGCACACCAACCAGCAGGGATTGGATCACATTGTAGGCATACAAATGTCTCAAGAGAAAACCACAGCTAACTAAATTTTGCCCTTTTCAGCGCCTGCTCAACAAGCTCAATCTGCAGTCGGAGGACTTTGCACAGGCAGTGGCCGCCCAGTTAACCAAGGATGAGAAGCCCGTTTTCGCCAAGCTGTGATCTGTGATTAAAACCCAACGGCAGCGGGATCGAATTTACAATGTATTTGCCTTGTATGCATTCATAAATACACCAGCTGCCTTTACTTTAAGACTAGGACTACTGGCGTGCGAAATTATTGGGACGATGATTGAAGGACGCACCGACTTATGACTAGGAATTTAAAGCTCTGAGGGATCACAACGATGCGGAAGCGCCAGAATCCGAATCCCTCTGCTGCTGTTGGCACAGTTCCTGCAGAGCGCGTGGATCCTTGACGCAGGCATCCGTGAGGACCTCCACCTGGCCGTGTTCGTTGATCAGCAGGTCGTCCTCGATGCGGATGCCAATGCCTCGGAACTCGGGCGGCACGTCGCCGCAATCCTGACCGATATAGATGCCTGGCTCCACGGTGAAGACCATGCCGGGCACGATGCGTGTGTTGCGCGGCACATGTGGCGTGTCGTGGACGTCCATGCCCAGGTAGTGGGAGACGTGGTGCGGACAGAAGCGGTATCCCTGGCCGGCCAGCTCCTTGTAGTCGGTCACAGACTTGCTCACCAGGCCGATCTCCTGGAGGTACTTGCCCAGCTTGTAGCAGGTGGTCTCAAACAGTTGGTCGAGTGTCTCGCCGCCCGGCTTCATCACGGTGCCAATGATCTCGGCCTGCAGCTGGTGCAGCATCTCGTACAGTGTGCGCTGCGGCTCTGTGAACTGCCCGCCAGCCGGCCACGTGCGTGTGATGTCGCTGGTGTAGCCGCCGTACTCGCAGCCGGCGTCCATCAGTACCATATCCTGGGGCCCTAGCAATTGGCTATTGCTCACGTAGTGGATCACTGTGGCATTCTTTCCGGCGGCCACCACGGGCGGATAGGCCAGGTGGCTGGCGTTGCGCATGCGGCACTTGTAGTCAATGGCCGCGAACAGGTGATGCTCCGATTGTCCAGGCCGCGTTTCGGCCATCACCTCGTTGAAGGAGCGAGAGGCTATGTCGCAGGTGCGTCGCATCAGCTGCATCTCAGCGCGGGATTTGAGCAGTCGCATGGCTTCCAGGAAAGTGTAGGCGGGCAACAACGGACGCTGCTCCACGCCACTCAGGCGCAGCATGTCCTCCGCCAACGATGGCAGATCGGAGGTCTTCTTGTCGAACCAAATGTGTGGCTTCAGGGCGGCAGCTCTCTTGGCCAGCACTGACTCTAGCATGAACAGCGGATGGGCCTCCGTGACGCCGAAGAGCGGCACGGCCAACTCGGGCCCGGTGCGCGGACCATCCCAGAGCTCGGCATGCGGATCCTTGGGGCGCATGAACAGTTCGGACTGTACGTTTTGAGCCTCGTCGATGGTCAGCAGGAGCACGGCGTCTGGCTCCAGGCAACCGGTGAGGTAGTAGAAGTCTGAATTCTGCCGAAACACATAGGGGATCTTGCCGCTCATATACTTCTTGGAGGCGGCGCCCAGGACGAACTAAGAAGGATTTGGTGTTAATGTTTAAACATATGTATGTTTTCTAGAGCAGATCTCACCATGTGGCAGGGACTCGAGTGGCCGTTGAACTCGCCGCCGAAGCTGCGCGCATAGGCGCGGATGTTCTGCATCAGCTGCAAGCGCCGCTCCTTAATCTCGCCCAGCTCCACGCCGGGAACCAGCTCATCAGGCTGAATGAGGTGCGGATGCGAGACGCTAGTGGGCTGGCCCAGGTTGCCCTTCTGCTGGCGCAGGATCTGGGCCACGCCCCGCACCTCAGCCGCGTTCACCGAAGCGCTGGAGGTGCGACTTCCGGAGGAGCTCGTCGTGGTTTGGTTCCTGCGGGGCCACAGGCATGTGGAGATGGCGGCGCTGCGGCGGGCGGTTGGTGCCATCAGGCGGTCCAGGCGCCTCAGGGCATTCATCGTGCTTCCGGTTCCTTTACTTGCCTTGCCTTGCCGCTTAGAATCTACAAATTTCCCACATAAGAAATCCGAACGGACAAAAACAATAACAACAAGGAACGGAATAAAAACAAAACCGAAAATGGGTTGCCAGACAGTTGGGTAACAAGTGTCCCGCCGATTGACAGGTGACGCTATCGATAGCTGTTGCGCGCTTGAATTTTAAAACAAAACATTTTTCTTTTTCAACAACATTATCAGAAATTTGTGGTCTATTTTCTTGCTTCAACTGGTCAATAGAATAGGTTTATGATTTATGATTTTTAATTTTCAAATAATTTGCGATAATCGAAAATCTCCGATGGTACCGGCACTAAGCTTTTAAGGTCATCGATGCATAAAAACACTATAATGTTGTTATCGATAATAAAAAAGTGCAATATTCTTTAATGACTTTTTGAACAGGATTTACGCTTTGAATACAGAGTCTTTAAGAGTTTTTGGTAGATCCGGACAATGTCGAACGAGGTAGGTGGTGATAGCTGCAATGCCCAATGGTCAAACACTCAACCCAATCTCCGCCAGCAGTGCTTTGTGCCCCGGCTGCCGGTGGACAGAGAGGCGATCCAGTTCCACGGCTGGGCCATCAGCTACGAGAAATCGCACATCCTGAAGAGCAGCTGCAAGCTGGGCACCACCGAGTGCTGCCCCAAGGAGGCAGCCGACCGCTGCGACCTCTGCCACTACCAGTACTCCCTGGAGCTGCCCCACCTGCCCGACATGGTGTTCCACAAGAACCACCTGGTGCTCAAGCACAAGGACGGCGCCGTCATCGAGTTCCGGCCCATGGAGGCGCTGGCCATGGTGTCCAACGGAAAGCAGCCGCTGGAGGTTGCCTGCGCCCAGGAGTGGCGGGAAACCCGGTGGGTACTCCCACATATCTATATAGATTCGTTAGGAAACACGGGTCTCCATTTTTTATAAGACTATTCCAAGAGATCTGATCAACTTCTTAGTTCCGTCTGCATCCAATACTTTGCCCGGAATGCCAAAAATAGCAAATCCCTAATTGGGGCATACATACGTATCTATAATTCTATCAAGTACAAACCCTGAGATAATGATAAATTTTTAGCTGTTCTTTTAAAATTACCTTTAGAAATTTTTGTTTTGTTATAAATGTTTTAAATCATTGAATCGTATATTCTATTCTTTTAAATTTCGTCACCAAATATTTGGGCGATATATATAACCCTATTAGTAATTCTAAATCCTTTCAAGCTTACCTTCAGAAATTTTTGGTAAACCCTTGTTTATCATTATGTCTCTTATATCTATAAACTTATTAAATCTTTAGACCTATTTTCTCCAAAATTTTGAATCGGTGCCAGTAATATTTTATGAATTAGAGCCTTTGGAAGTTCCCCATCTACACTTGTCTTACACTTCTTTTTAGTGTTACTAAACGATTATTAATTATTCAGTTCCGAGCAGACAATGGAGGAGAAGTTCAAGCCCTTCGACTGGACATTCACAACCACCTACCAGGGCACCATGAACGATAAGGTGCGTTCGGAGAGCACGGATCAGACACTCAACAAGTTCAAGCTGATGCAGCGCGAGAACATCATATTCTACCATGATCTTACGCTCTTCGAGGACGAACTGCACGACCACGGCATTTCCGTGATGAGCGTGCGAATTGTAAGTACATAGTTGTCATCATAGAGAGATACCTTTCTTAAGAAACCCCACTCCTCCTCCGACAGCGCGTGATGCCCTCTGGTTTCTTTATACTTCTGCGCCACTTCCTGCGTGTGGACGACGTGCTCATCCGGATGCACGACACGCGCTTTCACTACGAGATCGAGAACGACTTTATACTGAAGGAGTACATCCACAGGGAGGCGCCCTGCTCAGAGCTCCAGAACTCCGTTGCCTTTTGGACCAACCCAGATGAAATGCAGAACTTTTTGCCCGTTAAGAGCAAGCAGATGCACAAGCTGTTCTTTAAGTAGTCCACTGATGCCCAGCCCCAGGCCTTTGTCAAACTCCGTATTAGTTAGAACTGCTGCTATGTGCGTTTATTTAATGCCACCGGGTGTGCGCATGCGCAGACATTAAAAGCGATTTACCTAAAAGGCACACTACAAGTACGGCTATTAATACGGATAAAATATTGGGCGGACCAGCTGCCAACATCCCTAGGTTTAGGCGGTTCCAAGTAGGGCGGTTAGGGCCCGTTTGTAGTCGCCAGAGGTCTCCGCCTGAAAAAGAGATAAAAACGGGATGAAAGGAAATCCTTGATTCATGCCCTAATTACACTACAATTATGTTTATAAACATACGATTATAAATAGTTTTTAGTAAGCCAATAATGAAATTTAGAAAATTAACCGTGTCTAGAGGTTTTTGGAAAAATCTATCCTACGATAGTCTAGCAAATGTAGTGTAAGAAAAGCATTTGAGACCGAGGAGTAAACGAAATTGTGACTGCAACCGTTACACCAATGGCGTGGCCAATACTTACGTCCTAGGACAACACAAACACCGCAACAAATACCGAATTCGAGTAAAAAAAGGGGAAAGGGATGCATTAACCAGGTGCAAAGCACTCGCCTTTATTGCGAGATGCACTTACCTCCACGGCGCTGTGTAGCGTCCGGTTGTAGATCCGCTCGAACTCCTGCTTAATCGTCTCCAGGTCGATCTCCGAGCGACTGATGATGATGCGGATGAGGGTGGCGTCATCGGTGCCGGCTCCATTCATGGCCTTGTACAGACGGTTGGCGAAGAAGGCCGCCGGTGACTGGACGCACTCAACTAGAAGATTTTTAAATCGTTAAGGAAACATTAAAAAACTTATGGGTTTGTAAAAGAAATAGGAATCCCATGTTAGCATCGAAAACTTAACCTCAATTGATTGACTTTTAAAGCGCGAATTCTTCAGAAGTTTTCAATACGCAGTAAAGGGAGACTATAGTTAAAGTTTTTAAAGTGTATCCTTGCCTTTCGTGTTAAGATTTAGATTAGCAATGGAGGGGACAGTAACGCCATCAAAATGATATCTCACCAGATAATAAAAAATTTAGATAACGATGTTTTAGGAGACTTGTTCATTCTGCGAAAACTCTCAATTTACTAAAAATGACTAATAATTCTGTTGGCAACCTAAGATCGGCTTTGACTCACCCATTTACAAATGAGTCAAATAGGGTGATCGATTACTGACCTATGGCCATCATGGCCTCGTGCAGCTCATCGGACATCTCATGCTTGATGGCCTGCTCGATGGTCTGTCCGGAGAGCTCCTTGTACTCCTCGAAGACGAGTCGCAGCTGCGGGAAGCTGGCATGCGACATGATCCGGTTGAAGACCTCCTCGTCCGTTCCCAGCTTGGCCTCGCCGGCGGAATACAGCTGGGCGGCCTGCTCCTTGGCCTCATCGGCATTGACGGGAGTTTTCAGACCGTCGCGGACTCCGGTCACGATTAACGTAAGCAGGCGGCGGAAGAATCCAGACGTTTCGCTGCACATCTGCTCCGCCAACGGGCGCTGGTAACGATCCTCATAGGCAGCCACAATCTCGGCCATCTCCTCGTTGCTCTTGGTGCACAGGATCTCCACGAGAGTCGCCTCCTCGGTTCCGATTCCGGCCATGGCGGCGTGCAGCTGCTTGCAGAGATACTCCACCGGTGGCATCATCAGGCCCACGATCACGTCCTCGAACTTGCCGCCCAGCTCGTCCTTGAGGTCATCGATCAGGTCCCGCTCGAATTCCGCCTCGTAGATAGCCTTGATGGCCTGCCTCTGCTGGTTGCTCCTGCCGGCGAGGATCTCGATGATCTCCTGCTCATCGGTGCCGAATCCCTTCATCGCTGCCCGCAGCACCTGGGCGTCCTGCGAGGCGTCGAAGGGGCTGGCGTTCTTCACGGTGGGCACGGGCTACACGGTAAAAACAAAAAAAGTTTTATATCATATGTACATATAAAAACAAATAAGTGAAGGGTGATAAAAAATTTACATTATAGTAAAAAAAATTATTTTCCATTACGTTTCTAAATTTTCAGCACAGTTAGCCAAAAATGATTAAAAAAATTTTTGTAATGTCATATCTGATAGCCTTGGCACGGGTTCGAATACCACCGGTGCCCAATAAACTTTGTATGTATTCAGCCTAGTAAATACCATAATTTATTCTACGGTCATTATAAAGTATATACAATAATTCTGACCTGCAATTATAGTTTTTTATATGAGTCAATACATATCCCATAACTCTTTTAAGAACCAACTTTTTTGGTCTTGATATCAATTAGAAAGTTGTAAGTTTTCACTTATCAAAAGAAATTGCAGGTATCTGACCTTAAGTGCGGTGTGAAATTATCAAATAGATCATCCATACCACATTTTCTTTCTGTGTAACTTATGACGCATCGAGGTGGCAAATCAATAAGTGCAATGTTGCAATAGAATCAACATAGTTCACCAGCTATCCACTAACCTGGTAATCCATTGTGTAGCTGGAAGATTTTTTAGTAATTTACGGGTATTCTTCGGTGTTAAGATGGTTGATTCACGAAAATCAACGTTTCTCTTGGGGTTTATTTATCTATTCTTCTTGCGACGTCTTGTTGTCTCCGCCTGCTTTCGGTGAATAATTCCGAATGGGAGGTATGTACTACTGCACTGGGGTCTCTTGGCGGTGCTCTCTGCATTGTACTCACTACAGAGCACAAGTTTTACACGGAAAAATAACAATATCATCTTGCGAATAATTATCATATCGAACTTGGTCATTTAATTAACTTTTTTAACCCAGAAATAATGGAAAATAAAACTAGTATACAATTTTACTTTATGAGTAACTGGTACAAAAAGCTATTTTATATAATGAAAAAATATCGATCCATACTTTCCTTGCTAAAAATTACCCAAATAGCGTAAAATAATATAAAATATATGTAACTATATATTCGATTTGAATTTTTTTCTGTGTATAAGCTTTTGTGAGCGCGACTTTCGCGGGAGAGCTTTTAATTCCACTTCAAATGTGCCTGCACTTGAATTCCAAAGCAAATGAATCATTCGGCACATTCTTTGAATTAATTAATTAAAACCTGCTGACGAGATCGTGAAAATAACGTATGCCTGCCATACTTTTAGAAGAGATGTGTTCAAACATTTCGCTTCCAATGAAATACATGGCTTTCTAAATGCCCGACTCTCATAAAATATATTGAAAAATTGAATTTGATTTGACTACTTGCATTGAAAAGGGCGCGCTTTGCAATTTTAAAAGTTCGTAAAGCAATCTATATAGACACGGAAAAAAATAATATGTCAAAAATAGTAATATCTTAACATTTATATATTTCCTAGAATTTTCCGACCCTGTAAGCTATATTCCTCATCAGGATCAACAGGATCAAGACTTCGAAAGCTATGCAAAGTAGATAATAACTATGGAATTTTTGGTACCTCACTCGAAATTCTTACTTACTTCCAGAAATCAGATAAATTTGTTTTATTAATCCGATCATAAAAGTTGAAATGGTTTTATGCTTTCTACACAGACTCCGATAAAACATTTGTATTCATTGTAAAGACAAAATGTTGTTTTTATATGATCTCGCAGAGAGTAATTCCATTCTATCTCCTTGTAAATAAGTGCCAATCAAAGACGTTATCACCTTGTTTGTGTATATAGATATTATGTTTATTTAATCTCGTTAAATAGGCTTCGCTCTAATACATTTACATTTGGGCTCCTTCGGTCGAGTGGATGTAGCTTCATCTTCAGTTTTCGTGCCCTCATTCCCGAGCCCCTTTCCTGTCCTACTTTCCTTGTCTCTGTCTTTCTTCTTCTCAGGTTTAAGCTTAATACGTTGTTGTATATAATATTTAGCATTTAATTTATTTATGTGTGTGCTCTCAGCCTGCCTGACAGTCGAATAAATGATCATTCTTCAATCTTTTTAGTTCCACAAGTTGAAATTAAAAATAAAAATCCCATTTGCAGATCCGTTCCCATTATCGAACGAATTTGGCCAGATCGGTATTGATATTGCTGATGCTGATCAAATAGGCTACGATTGAAAATGGGAACGGATCTGGGAAATATCAATGGAATGAAACCAATATCTAATAACAAATGAATGAATATACCAATCAAACATGCGGGGAGACCAACTTCTAGTTCTTCTTCCACTGCTCTTCATATATATATATAATCTATATTCTGTCGAGTTTCATTAAATAAACCTTCTAATACAGTTACTGTGTTGGTTACCTAGAGAATGTTGCAGTTTCCCTCGATAGCTTGGGGATATATTCTGGAGGGGATGTGGTCAAGCGAATTCTGAGCATTTGGACTGCGGATGAGTTTTTAAGTTATGGGCTATACACAACTAAGGAGCAGTGGGATCACAAAAGATACAAAAAATACAAATTAAATTTCATTCAAGGACGCTCCTTCTCGGATTCCCTCAAGAATCGCAGAATTGGTATCAACTATTAACTACTTCCAGTTAACAACTATTGTCCTAGACCTCGTCGCTCTGGTTCAGCTTGATCTCGTTAAGATGGGTGTTAAACCGCGACCATTCGTCGCGCGACGGTTGCGCCAGATTCTCGGCCACATCGTACACGTACAGCTTGCCGGCCTCGTCGCCGATGCAGACGTGCAGACCAGATGGGGTCCAGGAGACGCGATTCAGGGCCGGGGCACCCGCCACAACAATTGAGGCTGTCGGCACCTCCATTTCCTGGTTGAGGTTCCACAGGTCCAGGCGTCCGCTGCCGTCGACGGCGGCGAAGAGGGCGGGATGCACGGGCGACCAGGCGACGTCCATCACGTAATCCGAATTGTCCTCGAAGGAGTACAGCGGCTTTGTGTCCTGAAATATGGAATGTATATCATTAGTGTGTGTAACGTTTATAGCCTTAGAAAGACAGAACCTAATTAAGACTAGTCGACTATTATACCCCTTATAGCATGCACATTTTATAACAGAGCCATTAGTTGGCTTTTCTTTAAGGAAAGTATGTATTACCTTGAGTGACCAGAGTTTAATGGTCCAATCAATCGAGGAGGTGAGGAATAGGTGGCCAAAGTCCGGCGACAGCTGGTTGTAGTGCGTGGATATTCCGGTGATGGGGCCCAGATGGCGTTCGTACACCTCGTTGACTCCGGAACGCAGGCCGTGGCGCGAGGCGGAGTAGACATAGCCATCCTCACTGCCCATCACCAGACTGTTGATCTCGTTGGCCGGGAAGGCCATCGATGTGATGGCAATGGCCTTCGATTGGCGCTGCTGCAGCTCGAGCGTGTCCTGCGGCTGCGACAGCATGTCCAGCGACCAGGAGCACAGCTTGCCGTCCGAGGATATGGAGAT